TTCGCTTCCGGCTTAGATGGATCACGACTAATAGCACGAACCTTGAACTTATCGGACATTCTCTCTTTCACATATGAAACGACAGAACTGCCCTGTTGACCTGTGGCCCCAAAAACAACCAAAATTTTACTCATTTTACAATTTGCACCCCTTTAGTAAGCTACCTAATACCAATTGAGTTTAGAAATTAAAATATTTGGTCTTTCAATGGTCGAAACTTACTTTATATACTTTTGCCTTATACCAATTGATCATTGATATATGTATTATTCTATTCGAGATTAGTAATACAAACCTTAAAATAATAATTCTGACTATTCCCGTATTACGCAGATGGAAACTAGACATCGATTATATAAAACATCTTCCGTATACGCTACCTATTTCCCTGACTATAAGGAAAGGATTATTACTAAGCATTGGATCCTGCAATCACAAATACATGTTGATGGCAGATTAATTGCCACAAAATTAACAACTAATGTCTTCAAGTCAAATGCTCAATTCGCGGACGGTGCTTAGGATTGACTGCAACTTCTATGAATTAAACCATTTTTCGAAAGTAACGTAAAATATAATGGCTTTTCGGATGAAAAGTAAATCATCATCTGCTCGGTTGTCTTCGGCGAAGATAAAGTGAGAATCTATACGCAAGATTTTTACGTGATAAAGCAGGGCTTGTATTATATCAATTGTAGCTTGATATGTAAAATTGAATATCTAATCTCTTCACTTGCCTTTTCATCTACTGCCATCCTTCACATCCATATACAACCTTAACAATATCCTTCTTTTCTTTTTTGCTCCATCGACTTATCATTTTTGCCAAGCGTTTTGTGTTGTTGGATCGCCAGGTTTACTAGCGAGTTCTCGATATGGACGATGACCGGCCGTGTGATAGGATTGAGATTTGTGTGATAACTGGTATAGACGATAAGCGCTTCTTAATATAACTATTTCAAGTTGTTCTCGAGCAAAGTCATCAGAATCGACAATTAGATCCATTCTATTTTGTACCACGCAATTTGATACTACTTTGCTTGGAATAATTTTCGCAGCCAACATATATTTTTTTGAAAATTTTAGATTTTTGCAATTATTCACAAGTTTACCATTCCACAATGCTTAATCGATTTCTTCTGCCTCTCTATTAAATAATTCTTTAAATATGATCCATAAGAATTATATTATCGAACAATACAAGCCTACATGATGTTGAATTATTTTGAAGTATACTATTGAAATATATATTTTAATATCGACCACATAAGATCATAAATTACGCTTGTTGAACTCTTAGATTATTCCAATCCGAGAGGATTCTTCCTGAAAAACTCCTCTAAAGTACTAGGCCTTTCAGATATTTGCTGTTTTCCCCATTCGACCTTTTCCCTCGTTTGCGGACCGTAAAGATTGTATTTATCGACGTATTGAAACATTTCCGTTATCTCTAAAGCAATTGGCTCTGGTATTTGTTCTCTAAACGTATTTGCTGGTATTTGTTGGTAATTCACATTTTTCCCAGTATCGTGGCTGATTATTTTAGCAATAGCTTCATACGAATACACGTCACTTGCCGCATTAAGTGTCTTTCCGTGAAACTTTTCTGGCTCATTAAGAATAGCCCCCACAAACTTACCAGTATCCTCTGTGTCGAGAAAAGGGAACTCAGAATCTGGTCTCATAACATTGAACATGGTGTACTTCCCATCGCCTACTGGTTGCGGCTTGAGCATGGTTGAAAAGTTTTGCATAAAACAGCCGGGAGAAAAGAACGAGCTATTAATTGGCAAGCTACGGATGTATTTCTCAACTTCGGCCTTTTCATCGAAATGTACAACATGGGGAAATTCTCCGTTTGAAATTTCGTTTGCATTCACCAATGTGCTCCAAATTATATTTGGAACCTTTTCCTCTACTGCTGCATCCGCAATGATTTTCCCCTGTTCCAACTCGCTCTGTCCCCCGAAACTTAACGCAGTCATCGCAAAAATAGTATCTGCTCCCTTAAATGCCTGTTTAATCGACTGTTTATCACCAAGATCTGCCTTGACAACCTCTACACCCGATTCTTGAAGCGCTTTGGCAGCCGGTTTAGATGGATCACGACTGATTGCACGAATCTTGAACTTATCGGACATTCTCTCTTTCACATATGAAACGACAGAACTGCCCTGTTGACCTGTGGCCCCAAAAACAACCAAAACTTTACTCATTTTACAATTTGCACCCTTTTAATAAGCTACTTAATACCAATTGAGTTAGAAATTATTTGGTCTTTCGACGGTCCAAACTCGCTTTATATACTTTTGCCTTATAACAATCAAGTACTGATATAGGCACTTGTAAACTAGTAAAATAGTAATTCTGATCTAGATTAGTAATCGTACACTAGTAAATGGCAATTTTGACTTAGTAATTGTACGCTAGTAAAATAGTAATTCTGACTATTCTGCAGTAAGTAGATCGTTTGAATATATAAGCATCCGTATAAGCCACCTATTCCCCTTGACTATAATGGCCTAAAGATTATTACTAATAGTCTTCTTCTACCCCGATTTCAAACACTTGATCCTGCGATAACAAGCGTTGATGGCGTGTTAAGTGCCGCAAAGTTAAGGAGTCAATGTCATCCAGTTAAATGCTCAATTCGTGTAGGGTTGATTGAAACTCTATGGTTTTGAATTAAACCATTTTTCGAAATAAACCTACAATACAATGGTTTTTGGAATGAAGAGTAAATCATCATCTGCTCGTTTTCAACAAAGTAGAGTGAGATTATTCACCTGATTTATACGTGATAACGCAGGGTTTGTATTATATCAATTGTAGCTTGATATGCAAAATCGAATGTCTGGGTATCTTCACTTGCCATTTCATCTACAGTTATCCTTCATTTTCCATATAAAATCTTAACTAGGTCCTCCTACTTTCTACATCTTCCACTTATTATCTTGGCCAAGGTTCTTTAGGAAAGTACGAGGGGGAAACCCATACCTTCCTCACTTCTATCCCTTCCTATTTCTAACTATAACATAATGAGGTACCCGTAACAATCACTAAATAGCATAATAAAACTCAATTATTTCATAAAACATTACACTTACCTATAAACCAAGCGGATTCCTCTCGAAGAACTCTTCAAAGGTACCAAGATTGTCAGGAACTTGTTGTATTGCCCACTCAACAACTTCCTTCGTTTGCGGACCATAAAGATTATATTTGTCGAAGTATTGAAACATTTCCGTAATCTCTAAAGCAATTGGCTCTGGTATTTGTTCTTTAAATGCATTTACTGGTATTTGTTCTTTAAATGCATTTACTGGTATTTGTTGGTAATTCACATTTTTCCCAGTATCCTTGCTGATTATTTTAGCAATTGTTTCAAACGAATACAAGCCATTAACCCCATTAAGAATCTTTCCGTGAAACTATTCTCGCTCATTAAGAATAGTTCCCACAAGCTTCCCAGCATCTTCTGTATCAAAAAAAGGAACCTCAGAAGCAGGCCTAATAATATTGAACACAGCATAATTCTCATCTCCTACTGGTTGCGGCTTGAACATTGTTATTTTGCATAAAACAACCAGGAGAAAAGAACGAGCTATTAATTGGCAAGCTACGGATGTATTTCTCAACTTGGGCCTTTTCATCGAAATGTACAACATGGGTAAATTCTCCGTTTGAAATTTTGCTTGCACTGGGCAAGGTACTCCAAATGATATTTGGAACCTTTTCCTCTACTGCTGCATCCGCAATGGTTTTCCCCTGTTCCAACTCGCTCTGTTCCCCGAAACTTAACGCAGTCATCGCAAAAATAGTATCTGCTCCCTTAAATGCTTGTTTAATTGACTGTTTATCACCGAGATCTGCCTTGATAACCTCTACGCCGGATTCTTGAAGAGCCTTCGCTTCCGGCTTAGATGGATCACGACTAATAGCACGAACCTTGAACTTATCGGACATTCTCTCTTTCACATATGAAACGACAGAACTGCCCTGCTGACCCGTGGCCCCAAAAACAACCAAAACTTTACTCATTTTGCAATTTGCATCAAATATCAAGTGTCAACTGTGCTTCGAAATAATTTGGCTCTTGGAAGGTTCACATTCGCATTATATACCTCAGTTTATTGCAATTAATTACTAATCTACGCATTATTATTTTCTAGATTCGAACAATTTAGCAATTGTACTCTAGTCAAAAGACCTCTGATTACCTTACTGTGGAAACATGGAGACTTTTATTTTGGCCGGACATAATGTAAAAATGTGTTGAGCTCAATGAATAATTTCCCTATTGATGTCAAGCATTCTTTGAAGATCAGAAGTGCCGTAAAATATGTAGCTATGCTTATAATGAATGGTTTCCATGTCATTAATCATCAACCGTAATTAGGATAATTCACATAGTGAGTATGAATTAGTTAATTATTGCATAAAGGCTAATTAGATTCATATGTTTTATTGCAACGAGGATTATTTCATAAATCTACAAACTTATTTCAACACATACTATAGTGGCTAGCTTGAAATGAGATCATCGTCTTCTAGTCGTTGTAGAAGATAAAATCGGTTGGTAGGTAAAAATAGCAGTTTGTATTCTTTGATCAATTATCAGAATAATTCTATTATAATAACTTAACGTAATATATAACATTGAGCTATCGTATCTCAGTACCTACACTTGCAACATCTATAATCATATTTTACTCTATACCATCGTAACAACATCCCTGATGTCATCGTCCTGGGTAGGCTTCTTTGCAACTTCACTGCATATTCTTCGATGCGATATTACACAAACACTTCCCAAGACATTTCAACAGCACCAGCGGTACTATCATATCACCCTTCTCTATCCATGAACAATCGAATAAACCCATATTCACCCCCCAATACCCACCCATCCGGATCTAGCACCAGTCTTCAGGATTTGAACAACTCTAAACAGCAGTCTCTGCGATATAATGATATTAGATCCCCCCGAGAAATGATGAGATCGTCCAAACTGGAGAACGACTTTATGAATAGGGACAATAGAGATCGAAGTTCCACCATGAACTCGATTGACAGTCTCAACATCAATTCAATTGAAAACAATAAGATGTACAAAGTACACGTCGATCAAGATGATATGAACGAACTAATTAATGAATCCCCTGCAAATGTCAAAAGTCCGACTTGGCTCTTAAGTGATATCTTACAGTCCTTTAGCAGTATAAGAGATAAAGACGAATACCAGATCGTGTCTAAGGGTAACGGACTAGTATCTATTCTAATAAAATACCCGTATTTAAAGAACGATATTGTCCTCAAGAACTTCTTAAACAAAATCCAGTTTATGCTTTACCATGACGTATCAGAAGTAAGAGCTACAGGTTATCGTATTATGCGATACATTATATCTAATTACGAATCCTTAACAATATTAATACAGTCCAAAGTCTTGATATTTATTATAATATCTTTGTCCACAAATTCCTCGTTACTAGAAAAAGAGCAGGCCCTTAAATTAATTAGAGAATTTTTGAACATCCCAAAGGGCACAGATAATTTATCGATCGGTGTCATCAAGAGTCTTATAGCTATAACTGAGGTTAGTGAACCCATGACTAACATAACTGATAACTTCAAGAAAATATGCATTGAAACGATCTGTGAGATTGCATTATTGAGACCAGAATTGATTTTCCACAGTAGCGGGTTCAAGGTTATTATTGAAACTATAGTGGAAGATGATTCTATTGAGCTCTCTGGGAATTGCATTCTTGTACTTATGAAAGTATTGGACTCGGAGAATACTCGAAAATTCCTAAGAAACGGCCATGATTTAAATTCGTTGGTATCAACCTTCTCAAGTATTGATTCAGGGGAGGAAGATAAAAATATTCCGACTTTTAAATTGCAGAAGGCAGCTTTCCTGCTCTCAGTTATCTTGAAAAATTGGAATGGGTTGATGAGTTTTTCCCATAATAATTTTGCATGTCTTAAAGATCTAATATTGAATTTAAAAAAGAAAGGCCCGAAATTACGAGATATTATTATGGATATTATACTGGATTTGTTAAGAATCGAAATGCTTCCTTGGTTGAAGTCATGTAGCATTGGTGATGTAATTCAATGCTTTAATAATTATGGCCACAATTCCAACTACACCTTCGAGTACGATGAAATAAGCCCCGAAAGCTTTGAATTTAACCTTATAAATCACTATTTGGGTTTAATTATAGCGATTTTAATTAATCATGGTATAATCAATCTCTTGACCGAAGTCATCGAAGAAAATTCCAATGAAGCAAATACGAAAAAGGCAACAAAACTAGTGACCCATATATACTCGATGGCGAATAATTTTCTCCCTCATGAGTTACTCCACAGCAAACTTCTATTGCCTTCTTTGCGTAATGAATGCTTGGAGCATTCTTCAACCTTCAAGATTTGGCAATCGACCAGAAAATCAAATGAGTTAACTCAAACTTCGGGTTTCGATCCATCGAATCTGTCTTCGAAGAAACTAAAGTTGTACATAAAAAATGTTAGCATTGGTTCAAGATATAATATAGATGATACGGAATTCAAGAATATGATTAATAACATCAGAATTTTAACCATTAAAGAGTTTGAGGAATGGAATTGGAATCTTTTATTCAGCTTTATTCAGGGTCCTTTAAGGAACCCCAAAAGATTCGATGAGATTCTAGAAAAGAACCCGAAATTTTTGAAAAGATTGATGTCATTCTATAGACCATTCAAATTCCGGTTCTGCAATATGCCAATTACTCATAAAAATTTTAAAATGTATATAAATATTGGTTGTCAGTTATTGGAAACCTATTTAACCTTAAATCATGGTATAAAATATTTATCATCTAACAAATTATTGCCTCAGTTATCAGAAATATTTGCACAAGTGGATCCATATAGTGGAATTGCCGCCAAAGAGCCAATTTTATCTAAGAAGAGACTTGAAAATACTTTGAGTGTCGGTTATGTAAAATTTATTGGTACGTTATCAGCAAATTCTTATGGACTAAAAATGTTAGAACAGTGGCAGTTTATCAACTTGTTCCATAATATAATAGAGGGGAGTAGAGATTCTGAGTCTAATAATTACTTGATTATAAACCTATTAAACAGCTTAGATTTTACTATCGATAGTCAGTTGAGAATTGTGTTATCAAAGGCAATTGGTATATCTAATTTGAAGATTCGAAACTTCGTTATTGATAATGTAATTCCGAAATTGATAAAAATTAAGGAATGTGAACATTTCGTTATCAAATTATTAGTGAATCAAATATATGATGTCGATCAGGAAATCTCAGATAAATCAATTGATTTATTGTACGATTGTTACTTGAGCAATGATATAAATATTCTAAATCATATTATAAACTTGAGACCTTCAATAGTAATTTTATCAAAACATGCAAGTGGGAAGATGCTATTGATGAATTTTATGAAGACATCAATTGGTTTCAAGTTCTTGGAAGATTCAGGATTCATCGATGCCGAATTTGATAAATGGATAAATCTAATCGGATTCGAATATGTTAAGAAGATTGAACTATTAATACAAAGGAGATTTTTTCCGTATGTTTCTTCTATAGCTTCCGACGAAAAACTTCCGGTTCACTTCTTCAATTACTTGTTACAGACAGAGGAAGGTTTAATATATTTTCAAACTCTTAAACAAAGGAATTATTTAGAAAATTTAATTTCAAATATTGAATTGATTTCAGACAAGATAGCTGAAAATAATAATGATGAAATATCCGTGGATGATGGAGACGAGGAAGAAGATCAAAGTAAATTAATAAATAAATTAAAGCAGAACTTGTGGATTATTGGTAGTATAGCTTCGGCGAAATATGGGATTCAATTATTGGACACAGCTTATACTAATATGGATAAATCAGTCGTTTCAATGATCCTAAATTTATTCTATAATTCGCCAAGTTGGCAAATAAGAGGTATTTCTTTCTATTTAATAGGAAGTATTGCCTCAACTATTGAAGGGATTGAAATTTTAGATGAATTGAATTGGTATTCAGTTATAGATAAGTACCACAACCCAATGAAATTAAGCTACCCTAAAGATCTTTATACAAAAGATATCTTCAATGTTGAAATTAATAATCCGTACCGAGATATTAAATATTATTCATTATTTAGCGGCGGTGATGAGAATGTAGAAACTGATAAGCTATTTGGTGACATCGAGGATGATGAGTTTTTCGACCATGAAAAGATTTATGAGAAGATTTTGAATCTTGTTAAACATTCAAGCTCCGTGTTGAATAGAATTGCCAGGAAGGCAACCAAACAATTAACGTTTATAAAGAAAAATTCTCCTTCAGTGTTTGAAAATAGAAGCCTTTTTTTGAAGATAATTAAATTGGTTGATAGAGGGAGTTATAAATTTAGCATTAGAAAGTTTATATTCGAATTATTTCTAGATACTAAGGTTTTAGAGAATCTAGTGAAAAAGGATAAGAAGAATATCAATATTAAATAAGTATATAATAAACGCTAAAATTCCTATTTTTTATGTTTCTTAGATTGTGGATCTTCGTCGTTTTCATCGTCTTTCAACAGCTTACGTTTCCTTTTAGTTGTCGTGGTTGAACTTGTATCAACAGTCTCTTTAAATTTATTACCACTTATAGTGAGCGGTTTGTATTTGGATATCACTAAGTTTGGATAGTGCCTTCTCACCCACGGCTCAATATCTTGTGGATTGAGTTCGAAATTGCCCATATCGTCGTTAATCAAGTCGGGTATTGCTTCGTTAATCAAAAGATTTATCTTATGCGTTTCTTTAAATTGTTGTTGGGAGTCGTCGATTGCTAACAAGGGAGCTAAGACCTCCTGTAATCTAGGGTTCATCGTTATTAAGTTCTCTATCCTCGATTTGTCGCTATCAGCCAAAACTTGATCAGTGGTTGGGGATACCGGTTCTTTCGATTCGAATTTATCGAGTAAGTCAATCAATGCATTATTTCTTCTTTGGTAAAAACTTAAAGCTTGTCTTTGGGATACTTCGTTCTGAAACAATTTCTGCGATACTGAATATACCTTGTAAAATCGTTCCTGATACTTTTCGAATAATTTGGCATAATCCTTATTGGACGACGTTGGATCTTGTGTTGCATCATTGTCTACATGTCCCTGTTCAATTTCCGGATCTGAATCGTCATTTTCTACCTTAACATTTTCGTCGTCATTCTCATGTGCTGGTTCTTTTCCATCTTCGTTATCGTTGTTTTCTTCTGTTCGCTGTTTATTGGTCTCTTCATCGGCCAGGTTAGCGTCTAATTTACTATGTATTTCTTCCTCCTCATTCCCCTCCACAGACTTCGCTTGTTTTTCAGCTATATTTTTATCACTACCCATTACTTTATTTCCATCCCCGGGTATATCTGACATTTCCATCTAAATTAACCCAGAAGAATGCCTCTACCATTACAGTAAACGATTATGGGAACAAGTATGTCGTTGAATAATTTCATAATGTCGCACAAGACTATCAACGCGTCTGCGTTATAATTTATGTATTCAATAATGGGTTATATGATGTCTAGAGAGTATACAGAGTTGAGAATAGTATTAAGATGTCAATTGTATCATTACTAGGAATTGAAGTGTTGAATAACCCAGCCAAATTTACAGACCCGTATGAATTCGAGATTACTTTTGAATGCTTAGAACCGTTAAAAGAAGATTTAGAATGGAAATTGACATATGTTGGGAGTTCGAGGTCATTGGATCATGATCAGGAATTGGATTCTATATTGGTTGGACCAGTACCTGTTGGTATAAATAAGTTTTTGTTTCAGGCCGATCCACCATCTCCAGAATTAATTCCAGCGAGTGAATTAGTAAGTGTGACAGTTATATTGTTAAGCTGTTCATACGCAGATCGAGAATTTGTAAGGGTTGGGTACTATGTAAACAATGAATATGATTCGGAAGAATTAAGGGAGAACCCACCGGCTAAAGTGCAAGTTGAACATGTCGTGAGAAATATACTTGCTGAGAAACCTAGGGTTACTAGATTCAATATAGTTTGGGATAACGAGGATGGTAATGCGGATGAATATCCCCCAGAACAACAAGTAGATGAGGAAGAAGAAGACGAGGAAGAAGAAGAAGAAGAGGAGGAGGAGGAGGAGGAAGAGGAAGCGGAAGAAGGAAAATATGTAGAAGGAGAAGAGGGAGAAGAAGGTGAGGACGCTGAAGAAGAAGCAGAGGCCGAGGAGAATGGGAATAAGGAAGCTAATAAAGAAGAAGATATCGAAGAGGATATCGAGGAAGACATTGAAGAAGATATCGAAGAGGATATCGAAATCGAAGATGAAGAAGAAGCCAAAAATGCTGATCAAGGTGAAACACCAATTGATAAAGTTCAAAGTTAAAATGTATAATTAGTTTAATAGATAATCCATTATCATATATATTTATGATATATAAATATATATTTATATTTCGTTAACAAGGGTAATCCAGGGTATTTATTGTTTATGGTTTTCAATAATTGAATTCAATGATTGACTTAAACTATCTATGACTTGTTTGTTTATAACTAAATTCTCCTTTGGTAAATGCAGACGTAATTTGGAAGCCCACTTATCGGGGTGCCATCTCAACCTTTCCCTTTTCAATAAATCAAGCACATCTTCATCTTCATTCTTAATATATTCGTAGAAGGATGATATTGGTTGCCTATCGTTGATAAGCTTCACGATCTCTTCAGTTGACACCATGTTCGCTCTGAACATTGTTAATAACGGCAACTTCATTTGAGATAAATCAGGTGAGTTGAATGATTGGAAATATTGGTTCCTAATACTTATTCGTTCCTGATTGGTATTAGTTTCATTCACAACTTGCAAATAAGGATCGTTGATTCTCTTATCACCAACGTGTAAGTCGACTTCAGCTTCATCCATAAGCCCAGCAGAAGACATTGGCAAGTCCCCTACAATCTTGTACTTGCCGTTATTTAATTTGCCGGCGGAGTGTGTATCATACTCATTCCTATTATAAGAAGTTTTCAATTCTTGCGACCTTAGAATCTTATTTGTTGGGGTTTGATAGTTATAATATGCATTTTGTGGTTTCCTGGTTGGCTTCACAAATCTATATCCATTTATAGAGTCTCCGAACTCATCCATTATCGGCACTTGTGGCGAATGACTAGGGGTTGGAGGTCTCGAATTGGCAGGCGTCGATTGAGAAATAGGGGTGGATTGAATATTTTGATTCGAATTGACAGTTGTGTTGAGCGTAGACGTTTGATGAGGGGAGGAAATCAACGAATCTCTCCGCAAATAATCGTCTTCGTCAACTTCATCCTCCTCATCGTCGTGAGTCCATTCACCATTACCGTGATTTGTCATAGCACTTAGCTTGTTCATGATCGGGTTCTGTGACACCGAGGTCTTTATCGAATTCTCAAAGTTTAAGAGATGCTTCACCTTGGTGAGCTTAGTTTGTGACGGGGTCTGCTGTTGACTTGGAGAGTCCTTGAATTTCAACTTCGACTTCTTACGCGGCTGCATCGGACACGGCGTCGAATCGCTATTGGAAAAACTGAGCTTGAACGTATTGTTGGTCGAGTTGTTTAAACATATCGACATGTCGCTGCGCACCGACGAATTCGTCATTGGTGCCTGGCGTGGAGTCTCCATATCTATATCCAGTGGCGAGTCCAAAGGCCGTTTACGTCGATTTACATACCGTGGCGGCTGGCGCCCGTATCCATTACTATCAGATGGGGTCCCACCAGTGGCCCCACTGCTCGATTCTTCGTAATCCTCTCCATAACCCGCAGCGTACTCTTCGTCGGTGTCTGATTCTCCCACCACCGTCTGGTTTCCAAGTTCATCGTGGTTTTCCCCTTCATCCAAGTCCAACTCGGACTCCAAATGCAAATTGTCCAACTTCTTCATCGGCGACAGAAACGACACTGATATGTCTCCCGCTCCACGCCCCACCAGCGTCTTGCCCGTTTTCAACGGAGTCGATGCCCCGGCCATGTCAAAATCAAACGACGAATTGACCAAGCTCTCGTTCTCTGAGTCATCGTGGTTTCTATTATTGTACCATTTGAGTGGTGCCACCTCTATCCGCTTGCTGGGCGTGCTGCTGTGAGTGTTCGTATGGCCCATCTTATATCACTTCAATGTACGTACTGGCACCTAAAAATGTCCTGCCAATATCATGCACTTAAATGTGAAGTACCTGTAGTATTATATGTATTAGGGAGTGTCTTTAGGTCCTTGTGCAATGATAAACCTATATAAGAACTAGACGTTTATCTGTTGTTGTTTTGATTTCTGATGGGAAGGAACACAAACGTCACGTGCCGCGATAAAAAAAAATCACCAAAGGAGGGGAGGAAATTTGCGAAGAGGTATCGAGTTCGACTCCAGCCCCGACCATATACATCCACATCATTCTCACTTCTCCTTGTACGCTATCTACACGTGGTGTGTCAAAATAACCGCGGGAGAGTCATCGCAGCATTATGGATGATCGAGGATGCACCTTCGGTGTTCCATGGATCTCCAGGTCAGTTGGCTCCGCGAAGGTAGCCAGAAAGACACAATCCACACGCTACAGGACCGGCTTCTTTTAGGCTTCAATTCTGGATTATCGTCAGACCAGAATCCATTTGGTGCATATACACGCACTGGCCACGCAGAGCAATCTACATAATATGAACAATAAATAGGGTACACAACAAAACAATCCCAATACAATTGAGCACAGTAGAAATGGGTATTAAACGTACTTACCAATAGTGCAATGTGAATGAGATGAGACCGAATATCCCGACGACAAGACGGAAGATATTGGGGCCAGTGGTGGCAAGCTTATAAGAAGCGCAAGCGTAATAGAAGTGTAAGTTATGTTCGTAGAAACAATTGGGGAAGTACCGTGAATTGACCTGAAACGATTGATGTAGAAATAGAAGACTTTAAGATCTTGCTGCTTTCTGTCGTAGAACAAAAAAACTCGTCACGATGCCTGATTACAGCCCACCTTGTGGTGCAGATAAAAAATTAGTAAGATCACCGCAGTGCTTATCGCAAAAATTGCGTATTCTATTGTATATAAGAATAACAATTTTCTGGTAGATTTTCTAGAGTGTGTTATAGTATAGATAGTTAAATGGGCACAGATATACTATCGAAATTGATTAAAATTAGCATAGGAGGAAATGATGACAACAGTGGGGGCAATTTGCCACAAAAAGGGTTGTCATACCAGTCCATTTCATATTTAACGTTCGAAGCTATACTAGAGGTTGTTATCATATGTTTTGCCGGGTTTGTGGCTGCTAAGAGTGGGATTTTGAATACACAGGCGCAGAAGGTGATCTCCCAATTGAATGTGGATTTGTTTACGCCATGTTTGGTTTTCACGAAGTTGGCACCTTCATTATCGTTTGAGAAGATGGTTGATATTCTCATAATACCGGTATTTTACGCGGTATCGACCGGGATTTCGTACGGATGTTCACAGGTGGTGGGGTGGATGCTCCGATTGAACAGTCCGGAAACAGACTTCATTACGGCGATGGCGGTTTTTGGGAATTCCAATTCGCTTCCGGTGTCTTTGACGTTGTCATTGGCATCGACATTGCCCAATTTGCTTTGGGATGACATTGAAGGCGATACACCCGATAAGGTTGCGTCGAGAGGTATACTATACTTGTTAATATTCCAGCAATTGGGGCAGGTTTTACGGTGGTCATGGGGGTATAACAAGCTTTTGCGAAAACGGTCGCAGGAGGAGTTGGACTCCTATCCGAAGGCAAACCATAGCGACGATCAGGAACGCGATATCGATGCCGGTGATGAACTGAGACCATTGCTAAGCGACGATGACATGCATGGTGCTCATTTTGACACCATTAATGGCGTTGATGTCGACTTGACCAACAGCACCGCGGCCAAAAATGATTCGGAGGGCTTGTCGTATAAGCCACCACGAACCAACTCATCCAGTAGTGTTCTGACTAATGGCTTGCAGCCTTCGTTGGCAGAAAATGTCTTCGTGGAGCGTATTACCGACGACAGCGACGCTAATTCAGACCAAGCATCGACTGACATTCACAAAAGACGTGCCCGTATATATCAGTTATGGTACGCCTTGAAGGGATTGCCGGTTATAAAGGAATTTTTGGCATTTATGAATCCGCCGTTATATGCCATGTTAATCTCGGTCGTTGTGGCATGTGTTCCTGCTTTGCAAAGGGAATTCTTCGTCGACGAGGAGTCTTTCATTCATAACACGCTTTCCAAATCAATCCATCTGTTGGGATCCGTTTCCATTCCCCTTATTTTAATCGTGCTTGGATCGAATTTGTATCCTTCCAATGACATGCCCCCACCATCGAGGCATTACAAGCGTATTGTGGTTGGATCATTACTTTCAAGAATGATACTACCTCCATTTATCTTGTTACCTATCATTACCCTTTGTGTCAAGTTCTTTAAGATATCCATTTTGGACGATCCTATATTCTTGATTGTTGCATTTATTTTGACCATCTCGCCTCCTGCCATTCAATTGTCGCAAATCACCCAGTTGAACAATATCTACCAAAAAGAAATGTCAGGGGTGTTATTCTGGGGTTACGTTATATTGACTTTACCAACTACCATTTTCATTGTAGTTACAAGTTTAGAAGTCTTGAAGTGGGCTACTACATAGTGAATATATAGTGAATATATAGTTAGTTTATCGTAATAAATTTTATTTTATCGGATCCATACACCGGGTTTTATCAGGAAAAAAATAAATTGAGCACTCTGTTAAAAAAGTCTCTACAGCAATACTGTTCATTTACCAGCATAAATCTATTGAATTATTTACAAATTAAGTTGTTTAATAGCCTAAAATTTCATGGCTTGGATATTATCTGTATATTAAACATTGCTGATTAGATTTCATCTTAGAATTCACCCATAAGATAAGTGGAAAGGAAAGTCAGGTATCGAAATCAAGCTGGGGATATTTACATTGACATCGAAGAAACATTTGTGAGAAACAATGGTCAAAGCACGTAAACTAGCAGTAGTAGGATCTCGTTCGGTCGGGAAGTCATCGATGACAGTCAGGTATGTGGAAGATCACTTTGTTGAACTGTACTATCCTACAATCGAAAATCAGTTTTCCAAGACTATAAATTACAAGAACCAAGACTATGCCATAGAGATATTAGACACAGCTGGACAGGATGAGTTCTCTATTATGAATGAAAAACATCTAATAGGTATTCATGGATACTTGTTGGTTTATTCTGTCACCTCAAGACAGTCATTCGAATTGATCAAGGTCATTAGGGATAAGATATTGAATTCAATTGGTACCGACCAAATACCAATAGTATTAATTGGTAATAAAAGTGACTTGAATTATCAGAGACAGGTGGAGACAGAGGAAGGCCAGACATTAGCTAAAGAATTTGGTTACAGATTTTTGGAGACATCTGTAAGAGATGATGTGAATATCGATACTGCTTTTGAGAGTTTAATAGATGAGATTGAAGCTATTCAAAATCCAACTATTAAACAAGATGACAAATGTACCATAATGTAAAGTGCTACATTTCTTCTTATTTATACATTACAATTTTAGATTCTAGCCCATATGATCGTGAGATATGCTTGTGTTTTTCCACATGTCATTGTTTAATGAAACCTATAAATTTGTACTTAAATAATACTATAATATTTTATGATGTTTGTTGATTGGACAAAAAGTGAGGCTTATCGGTCGTTATTATACACCCACGTAAATGTAAACTCAAAGAATCTCGTAGAAGTATTACTGATTAGGCTGGAAAAGATATTGAACACTTCCTATTACAATAGGCATATTCTGAACTATATAAGTATTGTATTTACTTGATTTCCCTTCCCATTTATAATAACGGTTAGACGAAATATTTTTTCGTGGCGGGAAAATGGTATTTACATATACAACAAGGCTGATAACATTTCAAATACTCATATCAAGAGGATATCCTATTATTGTATCAAAAATAGTATTCTTTTACATTAACTATCTAGGTATTACGAACTCAGGCTAATGGAACAATTAAAGCAACTGGATAATAATAAAAGCAGATGTGAAACACTAGAAGAAAGATGTACAAGGTATTTGTTGGGGATACTAGTAGTGGAATTGTTCAACTGAAAGACATGTATGCTTTATTCATGCAAACGAGTACTAAGTTCATCAAAACAAGATTAGGAATTCGAGATTGGAGACAGATCATGGTTCAAATTGTTGAAAAGAATGTTTCTAGTACTAGTATGTTAAACTCTTCATTCATCCGTAAGTTTTTAGAGATGCAGGCAGTACATGGATCAACAGTAGGGATGTTGAGGTGTAGGCGTTTTCAGGTTGGCGCTCAGCTTCGCAGGGTTTACAGCTGGCCAACAGAGGCCAAACTAGGCGTCTATAGAGGAGATATACGGTATAGTTAGAGTAAGGTGCAACTCCGTGACAGCATTTTCTTCTTTCCACTTAATTTAGTTCTATCCAAAAAACCAATTTGCAACATTTTAAGAATTCCACCAAAGTATGCACCTTTAATTATTTTTTGCAGAAATAGTTCGGAAAAATCTACAATTTTAACTTTTACAATTTTTTTTTCTCACAGCAAGATACGTCAAAAGTTGTTCTTCTTGCGGTGTGAATTTTACAACACACCGATGAGTGATAAATGTGTTAGTAGGTTAGCAGTCCGATATACCAGGTTATTACTTTTTCATTTAGTGTAAGAAATATCCCGCATAAAGTCTGTGTTACTTTTTGTTTTTTTAGAGTGCTAAGTGCGAGTTGGAAATTTTTACACAAGTTTTGTGCCAACTTTCTGACATCAACCGTTTTGCTCCAACTATACCATTTACATAATCGTGTGGAAGTTTTTTCGTAAGTATTTAAGGCCACCGTTGATCCATGTCCTGCTTCATCCAAAAACTTATTGATGAACGAAGAGTAACATATTAGTACTAGAAACATTCTTTTAACCAGCTGACCATTACCTATCTCCAATCTTTTCTTGATGAACTTAGTGCTCATTTGCATGAATAAAGTTATAGGTATCTTCCAAGTTGAACAATCCCACTATTAATATTGACAAACAAATATTTTGTACATATTTCTTGTATTGTTTTCCATCTGTTTATATTATTGTCCAATTGTTTTAATAGTTTCACTAACGTAATTTCGTAATATCTAAAATAGTAAGAATCATATTTTTGAAACAATCATAGAATATCATCTCGATATGAGTTTTGTCTTGTTAGATGGCGTATGCTGGTTATAAGTTATTTCTGAATATGCTAAAATATGCTCTACAAGGCCACCTCGCAGGTGTAAATATGCTCTAATATGATGTGTGCAGCCTTTGTCAAATGGTTTGTCTTTTCGCATTTCCATATGGACAATGTATGTCGTGTTTCTTGAAGTAGTATATCCTTAAAACGCCAATATTGAGTCTTTATTTTATCATATATCATTATTTACTAGAATGTAGTGTCTGATTCCTACAAATTCACGTTGAAGTAGTGATCTTCCCATTTCCATTTTTTTTATTAGCAACTTCGGAGTATTGATAATATCTGTTAGCTGTTTTTCTTCTAAAAACTTTACCCCATTTCAACATCACAATAAAACTACCATTTATAACAATGGAAATCATGAACATCAACCATGTTGTAACCTTCAATCCACATCGGTCTAGCCAAGGTTGTATCGCAAATGTAAAAATCATTCCAATACAATTTCTAATGAAAAGCATCAAGACTAGACCTTCACTTGCTAATTTTGGATAACAGTCAATAGCATAAGTCAAGCAAATAGATCCCGATGAACTCATAGCAAATCCTAGTAATCCCTGTCCCACGATGACTGATACAGGCCAGTCTGCCGCATATACCGAACCTAAGCCATAAGCAAGGAGGCCAGCTGCATTGAATATGGTTGGAATAATCATGGTCCACAATCTAAATTCCGGTTCTAATATCCCACCGTTACTTGTAGCTAATTTAATTGTGCAATAATCAACAAATTTTCCGCCGTATACCATGCCAAAAAGCGATCCGAACATGGCACCTAAATTAGTCAAACCCACCATGTCAGCGGAAAAGTTATAGGGATCATCGGAATATATCTCCGATTGGGTCGTTGCTAATAACGATAACCACATCATCTGAGACCCATATATAATTCCACCCCAAACAATAGCCGGAAATGTAACCAAGATGAAAGGCTTATAGAATATTTCAAGCCATGATCTAGAATCAGTAAATTCAAGCTCGATTAATCTCATTCTTTGCCAATATGTTCTAAGGACGATCGAATGGTCAATGGAATTATCGTCAGTTTCCGACACATTTTCGGCATAGCTTGTATGAAATTTACTTTCGTCTTTGTCATTTCGTATAGTTAAGTTTATTTTATTTGGCAGTACGGAAAAACTATTATTATCATCCTCCGACCTCTCAAATGTTGTATCTTCCATATAAAAAAGTTGTATCACTAATAATACTGCGAAGAAAATTACCTGAAAATAGAAACACCAACGCCAACTCATCGTTTCGATAATAAAGCCACAAGCCACGGGTCCCAAATCTGAACCAGCATAGAGGGCAAAAACAAACCACGATAAATATTCTGCTCGCTCGTGTTGGAAGAATACATCAGTAGTAGAAATTTCTACTAACGAATCGACTGGCGCAGCAGCAAAGCCGTTCAATAAGTTTGATACATATAAATAGTCAACCGAAATTGCCTGCGAACCAATTATGTTGCCCACTATAACTAAAATAGTACATAATAAGTAAACGAATCTTCGGCCCAATTTCATTGCGGTTGGTTGTAAGAAAACGCAACCCACACCAAGAAACAAGTAACAGATAGCGGCTGAAATATTCAACTGTGTAAAAGTGCAATTAAACTCTATCGTCCAGTCGCTCCACACGGGACCATCCCAATTTGTTGCCACTGCAAGAAGAAAAGACCAAACCCATAATAACCAAAACTGCTTTTTTTTTTTGGCTTTACTCCATCTGAGAGGATCGTTTGGGTTGCTCGATGGTTGGGGCTGAAGAATGATATTATTTGATGAATTCTCATCCTTTTTAGCTTCGGAAGTGCCATTTATATCAATCAACTGAACAGTTCCTGGAATCAAATCTTCACTTAATGTTTCACATTTATTATCTTTCTCTCTATCTATCATCTTTTGTTCTTGTAACGCCATTATACTACAAATTATGAACTGATTATCTCTCAATATATAAATAAATGTTTTTTGGTCATTTCCAGCCGAAAGCAGATACAAGACTTATCTCCAGTATAGGTCCATCGCAAATATTTACCTTGTACGGATCGGTAGTTGATAATTCTCACTCGTTAATTAACCCACAGCAAATATATAAAAGGATTTGGGTTTCCGTCGATCATTTCCAGCCAAAAGCAGATACCGCTGAGACTTTATCTCCAGTATACGCGCGTCGCAAATATTTACCTCTTACGGAATGGGGTTTACTCCACACCATCGCGTATATAAAAAACAAGCATACCCACTTAATGGCAAGGGGTATAAAGGATGGCCAAATCTGGGGTATAATGAGTCAATCTATTGAAGTTGAAGTATGCGTTATCGGCGGAGGTGTATCCGGGCTTAAGGCTGTTCATACTCTAATCAATCTGCCTGAATCTGGGTATTCAACCGAAGATGTGATTTTGGTCGAGGCTCAAGATCGTCTTGGGGGGAGGATATTCACAGATAGAAAGTCATCAAAATTAGGGTTATCGTACGACTTAGGGGCGGCGTGGTTTCATGATTCGCTAAATAATGTTGTATTGTCAGAGTCGGTCCGGGATGGTATTTTTAATGTTAGGGAAGATGGATATTATGATGATAAAGATATGAAATACTTCGCATCCGATCAAGATGGCCCGCTAGATGTTAACAATCTAAAGCTCGAAAGAGTCGTCGAGGATATACAAAAGTTCATCCAGTTATATTATGTAAACAATTCGGGTAAAGATATATCATTAAGCGAAATAGTGACATTATTTATGGCAAAATATGCGTCGAGATTGAGTGCAGAACAAAAACACCACTGCGGTAACATGCTAAGATATCTCGAATTATGGTATGGTATTACCTGGGACAAAATAAGTGCCAAGTACTCCATTGAGGATCATGGTGGTAGAAACTTGTTCAACAAGAAAGGCTACGATTTCGTGATCAATAAATTGGCTCAAGGAGTTCCAAATGATAGAATCTTATTAAATCATCCAATAAGTGGCATTGTCCGCAATAACGGGAACGCTAACAGGAAAGTTTCTGTAGAGTCCTGTAGTGGAGCAACGATCCATTGCAACTACCTTATTGTTACCGTGCCTCAAAGCATTTTATCATTACGTGCATCGCATCCACAAGGTATCACATGGACGCCACCACTTCCATCAAAGTTCACCATTACCTTAGACAGGATGCACTTTGGGTCATTGGGCAAAGTTATTTTTGAATTTGAAGCAGCTTGGTGGGATATCAACCTGGACAGATTTGAAATCTTACCTGATTCCACTGATAATAGTCTGCTCTCTTTCCCATTAGACCTGCTTCCAGAAAAGTTTAGATTTCCAACATACGTGGTTAATTACGCTGCAGTATACAGTGATTCCACCAATGGTGCAAGTCTTTGTGTCCTCACACAATCTCCATTAACCAACTACTTGGAATCGCATCCGCAAGAAGCTTGGCCGTACTTTAAACCAATGTTATCCAAAATTGCTCTTGCTGGTCAAGACGTATCAGATCCAATTAATACTATTACATCTAACTGGACAAATAATCCTTACATAAAGGGCTCTTATAGTGCTGTTGAGTCTGGTGATGATCCATTAGGTTTAATTGCCCAATTTTCCGGCGAAAACAATTGTGGGTTGACCGACAAAAATATACGTTTTTCCGGTGAGCACACAATACTCAACGGCCACGGTTGCGTGAACGGCGCATACATGAGTGGCGAAAGAGAAGCTTTATGGATCCTCAATGACACTAAAAATGTAAAAATGAATAGTCGAGGAGCTAGATCAAAGTTATAAAAATAATATATTAGCTTAGAGGTTTATTAAGTGATGATAAAACATAGGACCTTTGGTCTGTATCCCCCTCGTGTTTCTAAGAATCTATAGATAAAGGATGAGCTAATTTGCTGGTGTTTGAAACATTCCTTTTAACGAGTTGTACCAAGATATTTTTATCCAGTCTCATATTCCCACTCTTTTCTTAATGAATGTAGTACTTATTGTCATAAAAGTGCATACGTATCTTGTTGAACTATGCCGCATCCAATATCAAAAAAAAATATATCCGGTACATTTTTTCCTTCTTGTTTCAATTCAATCAGTCAGTGGGTTTGACAATAATCAACTGTTAAGGGACATGTAACAATGTGCTCAATTAACCTGAGCTCATAATTTCGTATATAGCTTATATAAGACAATTCGATCTTTGAGACAATAGTAGGATATCCTCTTGGTATCAGCTTCGTGCTGTTTGTGATTTTCGTTTTATCGTAAGTATATGTACAAGGTATTATCGCCTGCCTTGAGATTGCGCGCTCTCACCATAGTAATCATCAGTAGAAATGAGAATGGGTGAGTAAAGGACAAAATTCGAGGTGGTCTTCTTGAGACATGTCCCTTACACTATAACTAGGAAAATTAAATCTTGTTACATTCATCTTATAATTTTTCAATTAGTATTATATTCTATATATCAACTTTTAATTCTGTAGGATTAACATCTATGTACTAAAATTTATCCCAACTCCATAATTTACTGCCTGGATTAACTAATTCATTTTCATTTTCACTATTGCTTGACCTTTATCAACACCTCGGAAAAGTATACTAGAGGATTTAGGAATGTTTAAGTGCTGGTATCCTTTGATGAGTTGCGTGCAATTCAAGCCAACATATTTAACAATCGGAACATCTTCGGAAATACATCCCGAGGTCCGAATTCACGCTCCTGGTATAATGGAACTCGATTTATCGCTAACTCGTTGACTGGAGCGCAAGTTCGAACAACCCTCGAAGATAGTACGGATCATATTCCTGTTATCCACTACGTCGCCAGCGTTTTGAAGGTGCATTCCAACATGTTATGTTGACTACATATGGGAAAAAGGAACCAAATAATGTATGGTATTGAGGTGGTTGTTCCCTCTAATAAAGCTTGACGCCATATTTTTCGGAATGAGATGTCAAAAATACTTCACATAATTTTCTGTTTACGTTTCTCTTCTTCTCATGTGTAAGTTTACAATTCCGGAAAGTTTCTGGATCATCACCATAATTGAAATATCCAAAGTCGATAGAATACACTTTTGGAGATAAATTATTTCTTTAATTAATATCACCATATAGTGCTGTTGGGCAACTTTCCACAATCATGGTTGGCTGTGCTAACAATATTTCTCCAAAATATACGAATCGAAGTATGATTCCCTTAATTCAGTAACTAACAATATGTCCTATCAATGTCTTCTATCCCATTCATCATATCGCAGTAAGATCAAAACCTTAGTTATCAGATTGGTCTCAATTATCAAAATAGCAGATAGAGAGCAGTCAAATTCTTTCTAATATTATTAAGAGTCTTTGCTATGATTTGAGCTATAGTAAGCAGAGGTGATTTAGTGGACAAAGCATGGTCGAAAGGCTCAATTTATTACATACTACCCAAATGGTCCTAAATAGACTTCATTTTCTTGATATAAATTTAAAAGATGTCACGTCTATTCTACATATCCTCTTCTTTAACTCCATTACACGTTCTACATTCAACAGAGTATCAGGATATTTTCATGATAGTCGTATATCTTTTCGTTTTGATTGCAGATTGTGATATCCGAAAAAGTTAGAAGAAAAGTTTATAAAACAACGAGTTATGAAATCTCTTCAAGTGATACTTATATGACCATCAACATTAGGCGCCTTGAGTTTAATGTTCTTTTAAAAGATTTTCGATAGTAGTTGCAGCCAAATATTTTATCGTTTTTGTGTTATGAAAGTTGATTAAGAATATTTTACAGTCCATGTTATACGACCGTTATTCACCAGATAAATATAGCACAACTGGCAGTTGTTTGGGACATGGATTTCTTGGAACCTAGAAAACAGAAAAAGCTCATAACTCCAGGGCCCGTTGAATCAAAAGAAGGAATTCCTTATGACTATATTGTAGTTATAGACGCGGGATCCAAAGGTTCAAGGGTATATGTTTATAATTGGTTGAACCCTGTGCATATTTTTCAGAACGATGTAGATTTAAATGATATCGCCGAAAATAAGGAGTTGAAGTTGGTCAGAAGGTTTTTCATTGACAGCGTTGGTGGTAGGGATAATGACGAAGATAGTGACCTGGAAAATGAAGATAATGAGGAAAGTGACAATACCGATAAAGAGAAAGAGAAAGGAAAAGAGAAAGGTAAAGATAAGGACAAAGATAATAAGAAGGGTAAAAGTGGAGATAAAGATAAAGAGAAAGATAAACCGAAGGAACCGGAGAAAATTTATACTCGAAGATTACCTTTGGTAGGAGCCAAAAAGAAGTGGAATAAAAAGATAAAACCAGGAATCTCGTCCTTTAATTCGAGTCCACAAAAAATAGGCAATCACCATTTGAAGCACTTGCTTCAATTAGCAAGTATAGTGGTTCCTAAGTCCCAGCATTCAAGAACACCCATATTTTTACATTCGACCGGAGGTATGAGACTATTACCTCCTACCGAACAACAACAAATTTTAGAAAATATCTGCAAATATATCACACATAATTCAGATTTCTTCATCCCTGAATGTTCTACGCACGTTAATGTTATAGATGGAGATATTGAAGGCTTATATGGCTGGCTTTCTATAAATTATTTGATTGGTGCACTCGACAATCCCCAGAATCATCAGCATGGAAAGAACCATACCACTTATGGTCTTTTAGATATGGGAGGAGCTTCTACCCAAGTTGTTTTCCAGCCTAATTCTACTGAGGTTCGGGAGCATGATAATAACCTCTTCAAAGTAAAACTTGTCGAACTCCCTACACCGATATCAGACGAACAAGACAAAGAGCAAACGGGTAAAAATGAAGATAGTATTGGCAGCTTCAATACTCCGTCAGATCTTAGTTTCGATATTTATTCAGATTCATTCTTGGGATTTGGAATGTACCAGGCTCATAATAGGTATTTGTCATTTCTAACTGAAAAATATGCAGAAGAACATGAATTGAATAAACCAACATACTATGGTAGTTCGCGTACTCCTGTTCCAGATCCGTGCTTACCAAAAGGTTACACTACTAAATCGGTTATAAATGATGACTCCGTAAACTTCACGGGTGAGAGTGACTTTAATAAGTGCTTAACATCAATTTTCCCTGTATTGCGTAACAGCACACATAATACCGGCTCTGGAAAGAATGAAAATTGTAAAGAATTTAAAGATAGCGATGAGTCAAGCTCGTGCTTGTTGAACGATTTGATTCCAGCATTTGACTTCGATGTGAATCATTTCGTGGGCGTAAGTGGATATTGGGATGCAATTACTAATTTATTGTCGTATGACGATAAGAGTACAAGAGATTCAGCTCGGTCATCTGATAAATCGGGAGGAAAAGATGCGGCTGATACTTATGATTATAAGGTGATATACAACGCAACTTCCAAGTTATGTTCCCAATCTTTTAGTAGACTTATCGAGTTGAATAACGTAAAACCAGAGAAGAACCAAATGACCGAAGAAGAGTTGTCCGACTTGTGTTTTAAATCGTCTTGGATTTTGAATTTTTTGCATCTAGGCTTAGGTTTTCCGAGATTTGGTATTGATGAATATGCAACTGAAAATAGTAGATTCAAGTCATTAGAATTAGTTGAGAAATTAGGCGGATCTTCCTTTTCATGGACCTTAGGAAGGGCCATTCTTTATGCAAATGATGAATATGTTCAAGCATTTAATAATTTTACTGCTGATACCATTGGCTTATCCGAAGAAGACCGCATAACAAGCAAAAATAATATACCAAGATCCGGGTTTTATCATTCAGCATCGTCCAGTGTGTTTCATTTTGGTGCTGAACAAAGTGGGATTTTCCCCAGACCTCAATTTAGCCCTCCTATCAAAAATGCCAAATACCCGATTTTTGATTATGAAACGGAATATCAATCAGAGTATAAGGAATCTAAATGGTATATAGAGCCACATCGTTGGTATGGATCGTTGGTTTTCATGTCGTTAATAGGCTTTATATTATGGTTATTGATGGGTAAAAGTGGTAGAGCTGCCTTGTTTGATAATATTAAAAACAAAATTACTAACTTTTTTAATTTGGTTAAGAAAGGCAGAACCGGCAATAGCTCATATTTCAGGTTAAATAATGATGCAGGGAATGACGGTGACTTGGAGCTAGCAGACTTTGAGTTGAATGGACTGAGCCATAATCATCGGAGTGCTTCGGCTGAAGAAGCAGACCATCAATTTAAGATAGATAGTGATGAAGATTGATTACAGCTTGCTTGAGAATTATTTTCATGTTTGTAACCAAGGTTTGAACCTAGCAATTTAGAGATTTTACTATGATTGTATATACTGTTGAGTCAAAAATAATATCTTGCAATAAATTTCGCATTTTTAAATTGTAGTTTTCCCGAGAAAACCATCCCTTGATCTGTATGATATATTAGTTTAACAATTAGACTTACTTAGTACTGAAATTATACAATTCAATAGGAATACGGGATAAAAATTAACGAGGAATAAGTAGTAGCTGTCTATTGAATATGAGTGAGCCAACAGTTAACTTTCATATTCAGACAAGACTCACGGAATTCAAAATTCCTACGGAACTAATCAAGAAGAATTTCAAAGCGATTCAAAAGCAAATAGAGAAACAGAAGAAATCTATTGGAGAAGATGTGGCCAAAATTAAGAAAAATAATAAATTGCCTACAGCAATGAAGATTGAAATGATAAATAAATTGATAAAGAGTTTTGAGATATTTCAAAAGAGACTACAAACATCGATAAATAGGGACGAAGTATTCAGGTCTAGAATTGTAGCACGTCTAGAAAATTTGTCTGAATTAACGAATTACACTATGAAAACGAATGTTGTTGTCGAACTGAATGCCAGCCCAATTGACTCAGATGATAACAGAGATGAAAATTCGGTTACCCCAAAATCAATGGAAGATGAGGATAGACCTTTGGATTTGCATAACGTTAACCTAATTAACTGGTACAGAGACCAGACTAATTTGTTAATTATCGATTACTTGATTAAGTCAAATACAAGGTCAGATCAGAATATCGGGTTGCAGTTATTAAAGAGTATATCACAAACAAATCCCAAATTCACGAAACTTATTGATTATGATTTATATGATAATTTTAATAAGGTATTTGTTTCAATAATTGAGAATCACGATCTTTCATTAGTAATCGCTTGGTTCAATGAGAATAGGAACTTCTTGAAGAAGGCGAATTCTAATTTAGAATTTGAAATAAACTATTGCAAATTTTTGTCACTTATAGAAGAAGGTGATGTCAACGAAGCAATCAAGTTCTCACAGGTGAATCTCTCGCCGTATGGGAATAAAGGTAATTACCAGTCCCAAGAATTTATGAATCATGAAAGTAATTTGAATAAGCTAAAGGAGATAGGTGGTTTATTGGTTTATATGGCTATTAATGAAAAAGCCAACGCACAAATAGATAAGAGCATTCCATTTTCGAGTTCCTTAGTAATTAGTTCTCCACGATTTAAGGAATATAAAAGGCTATTATCTAACGAAAGATGGGACAGTTTGTCGCAATGCTTTATTGAGAATTTTACAAAGTTATATGGCATTTCCAGAAATTATCCGTTATTCATATATTTGTCTGCTGGATTATCAAGCTTGAAGACAAAGTCATGCTATTGTAATACGGAAAATACAATTTTCAAACAATATGAGGAATCATCAGAACCTAATAAGAACATATATAAGAGAGATTTAGCAGTATTGACGGATAAAAAATATAGAGGGCCAAATAAGTATTATAAGTTATTGAACAAAATAAATCATTGTCCAGTATGTTCGCCTGAGCTATATAAATTGAGTAAAAACTTGCCTTATGCTCAACTAATTACAAGCATTTTCAATAACCCATACAAATTACCCAATGGAAATATCTATCCATTTGACAAATTACTAAACCCATCGGAGAAGTATTTATCAGAGAAAAATACCTTATTACGAATGGGCAAGATTAAAGATCCTTTAACTCGTGAGATTTTTTTAATCGATGATTGTGTAAGAGTATATCCAGCTTAGACCAGCAGCTTGTGTATATTGAAGCATTTTATTCTTATGTTATTTTCTTTTGAAATATAACGTTTATTACGCGTCTATGATAAAATATATAAAATCTAACTAATGATCAATTGTCCGAATCGGAGTCATCGGCTTTCTTTTTCTTGTCATCCTTCTTAGTAAATTGTTCGAATACGTATATCCTGGCTTCTCTCTCCGATGCGGGCTTAGTAGTATCACGTACACTGTTAGTCCGTCTATGATGATAATCTTGGAACATTTGCCAGCTAAATTTTCCTGAACGTTCGACTTTGTAATTTTCACTTCTACCCAATATCTTAATGTTCCAAGAATTGTATGGTTCACCCTCGAATAAAGTTAAAAGAATCTTACCTTTGTTTTCGTTTACTGCACTTGATGCATATCCTGCAAAATCATTCTCCATATCATTATTCACCAAGTTAAAGACTGCTCTACAACTCTTGAAGTAGTTCAATACTAATTTTTGATGATCAATAATATTTCTGTCCACATCCTTTATCCCCTTACCAGTGTGTGGAAAATTAAACATAATGTAGTCCAAATTCTTATTATCAGAAAACAATCTAGCTTTCGCTTTCTTCTTATTCTTACCACTAGGATTCAACTTCAACGAAGATACAAGATCAGTAGCGTCAATACTGTGTAATAACTGTACTCCTTCATCAATGAGAAAATTCAAGTTTTCTTCGACATCAGGATATTTTTGTATTATTTCATCTTTAGAATCGAAGCTGGTAGCTATGAGATTCTCTGGCTTTATGAAGTTCTCCTTTATTATAGATACTGCAAATGAAAAGTCACCTTCTCCAACAAGCAAGAGTTTATCATCTATATTGAAAGGCTGCAAGCCTTTTTGTTGAATCTGTTGGGTTTGAGTTTTCTTTTTGTTCCGTTTTCCACTTTTTATGGACTTTTCCTTCAATGCTTGTTTATCCTTCTGAATTTCCATGGATTTCTCCGTTTTCTTGATTATTTCTTCCTTAGTAGCAAGACGTGCCAAAGCACCTTTCAAGCCTTTACTATTCACTAATTTACCTTTTAATTTCTTTGCCATTATACAATACTTTTAGTGAAATACTCTCACATTTAAAGACTAAATTTAAGATGAGCATCGAATGTTTTATATTTTTCGCATCTATGAATTGAATTTTGATATAAAATCTAACGATTTGCCTAATGTATTGATTATATAAAACCCAAATATGTAAGGTTTTCTAAGTTAATATTTATATATGAAAAGCACGCCCCTCTTCAACATTATAATCGTCAGTTGTGAGATTTTCATCTGATTCCCTGTCTAAGTTTTCATTCGGGAGACCAATATCGTCATCATCACTTAATCCACTACTTTGAGAACCTTCGTCATCCCTGTGATTTGAATAATCATCGTCATCCAACGCATTTGTGGGAGTATTCTTTTCCTCATAGGATTCACTTTCTAAAGCAGATTGCAGATTACCGTGAGCGCTTTCCGATTCCTGATCTTCTTCTTCATCGTCATCTAAGTGTTGTAAAATTTCATTCACTCCATCATTATATTCATAGAATAACATGAAGGTGCCTTGAGAATTCAAAACTTCATTTTCTGTCACAACATAGACTGATTCATCACTGATTCTCCACCACGATCCACGTAATCTACGGTAACAAATATAATGACCGTAGTTATGTGTACCGAAATGGGATATGACGGCTTTCAAATTATACAAGAGTTTTGGATTTAATGAGATGAAGTTATCTTGATTTTCAGAGGAATCGGATGTTGAATTACTGTATCTGTCACTTGGTGATAATTCCTTGTCCTCGAGATTATCTTGATCAGACATAGATACGGTATTGGAAGATTCGGATTCAGAACTATTAGAAGGTTTATTGATATCTGCAAGTGGTACCTTGATAGTTCTTTCATCTTGCTTTCTGAAAGGTAATCTGGCATCCATATTAATGTCTTTCGGTTCTGTAACATATGAAGTCAAATCTAATCTCGATGGGAATGAAACGTTACTAGGGTTTTTGACTATCATATAGGTTTTTGGATCAAATACGGATCTATTAATATGAATTGTTAATAAAGGAGGTGGTCTGCTTAAGGATATTTGTTTTGATTTCTTTGTTTTTCTAATCATCTGTTTAATAGATAATTTTTCGAAGACATCATCCGTAATATGCGGCTGCAATAATTCTTTTTCAATTTCATCAGCTCTGTTTTGAAATTGTCCTATAATTTTTTCGTTATTTGCTTCAGAAATCTTGCTAAGTAAAAATTCCTTCGTCTGTACTAAGCCACATCTATTGCAATTCACATCTTCGATTATCTCTGGTGCTATCCAATCATTCATTAATGAATCTAAATCATATCCAGAATATGATGATTTATTCGGTAAATTCAAACTTAATCCACTATTAACAGAGTAACGAATCCCCCCCACTTCACCACAAACTAAACATCCAATTCTTTCCACAGATATCCCGTCAACTGGTGTAACTAAATCTAGTGGATAAACTTTGTGATCAATTTCTAATAAATTTGGATCAACCTGTGAAGCTGGCACATATACCTTACCTAACCTACCTAATTCTTCACAACCAGATATTAAATTAGGGACTAATGCACTATCGACAAACTTATCACTAAGTAACTTTTCAGAAGAATCAGGCTCAGGAGACAGCTGTCTAGATTTAGAATCCTTTTTGTACTCAGTTTCAACAAGGTTCATCACTAATTGATAAAACTCTTGTGCGTCTTCTTGGTTATAACCCGTGAAAAAGTTTTGCTTTGGTCCATTAGGCATCTTATTCAACAAGGGTTTTGCACTAAATTCTTTGCCTCTAGAGCCATATGATCCGTTAATGCCTTCCAAAAACCTCCTCAATGCAGCTGTAAAAACTAAGTCCGGTTTTGGGGTGTTGGATTTCACCGTTGTTGGAGCGGGCTCTCCTGAAATTTCGATCTCCGAGTATAGGTAAGAATCTATGAATTTTAATAAATGTTTAGAAGAGGCCAACGATTGTAATACTGAGTTCATAAAGCATGTGTTTCCGTCGTTGCTGATACCTCCTAGTTCTCCGCCATTTTTGACAGCAAATCTAGTCTCTCTCGACTTTCCGGAAGGTCCGAACCTCGATTTATTTGAAGTCATATATCTATAGCCTGAATTCATATTCGAAAATGCTCTATTGACGACCTCTGGTAAACTGTACGATAATGAATGTCTTCTGTAATACACAGAAAGTACTATACTTAATAAAACTAATGACGAAGTAGTCGCAAGCGGTAATCTGTTTGATTTGATGAATTTGGATATGGTAGTTATGTTACCACTAGGGATGATATTATTAAAGAATGTAACAGGAAGCACTTTGTTTAATAGCGTTTGATTAAGTAAAGGAACGACAAATATAATTAGTAAAACAAAAAATGCTATGGATTCTTTGGAAATATACAGTGTCATACAGGAGAACCAAAGGAACCTATCAGCTCAAATACCTTACGTTCTCGTGTAAAATAATTCTTAGTAGAATGAAAGTTTATGTCTTTGTAATGAACTATTTTCTTTTAAAAAAAAATTGATGAAGTCTTCGGTTTGTGTAACATTTCATATATCTACGAAGAAGGTAACATATTTTTTATTTAGCTTTTATATCGGATTTTACATAACAAAACAAGAGTCCAATGCTTCCAAATGAACAGAAGACATATAGAGATAACAGGAAAAAAAAGTGGGAAAAGAGGCTAAAAAAAAGGGCCATTTATAGATACGAAATTCTTGACATCAAGAAATGAATTCCGGTCCACCTATTCTATGGTCTACCTTGGTTGTACATTGGTGGAGGTGGAACACCTCTGCCGAAGTTCTGGAATTGACCCATTGGTGGTCTATCTTTACCCCAACCACATTTTAATGGCCTACCATTGATAGTAAAGCCAGCTAATTGGACAATTGCAAGAGCAGCTCTCTCATGAGAATCATACTTGACAAAGGCACAACCTCTTTCAGGATGAAACTTGAAATCAACAATGAAGCCGAAGTTTTGCAATAACGGGATTAAATCGGTTTGCTGTGTAAAGTGAGCAATGTTTCCCAAATACACAGTAGTTTGCCATGAAGGAGTTTGTCTTAATACAATATCGTACGATTGGGGAGACATGACTGGAATATTTGCCTGGTTACCATTATTAGAGTTATTAGCTTGTGGAACATTGTGGAGTTGCTGTTGTGATGGTGGCATATTACCTTGCTGGTTTGGATTAAATTGGCCATTTCCGATAGGCATTCCGTTGTTTTGGTTTTGAAGCTGTTGTGGGATTGCATTGTTAAACGGTCTAAACTGACGGTTGTTTTGATGATGACGGTTGTTGTTTCTATAATTATTATTGTTGTTTAACTGCTTATGAGAAGCCCAGTTACATCTGATCGCTCTACCACTAATCCATTCACCATTCATAGTCTGTAAAGCTAACTCAGCATCTGCTTGTTGGCCAAAGCTAACAAAACCATAACCTCTAGATCTCGAGGTCTGCATGTCCCACATAACGTGGGCTTGCTTCAATGATGGAAACTTAGAGAATGACTTGTTTAAAGTCTCATCGTCAACTTCAGGGGATAAATCTCCGACGAAAATATTGAACGTTGGCTCATCTGGGTTTAATGAGCTGATGGTAGAGGATTGATATGCCCAGTTGATTTTTATCTCGGAGTTGTTGATGATTCTTCCATTAAGCGTGTGCAAAGCCATATCTGCTGATTGAGTATTCTCAAATTCAATGAACGCATAATTGAATCCGGGTCTATTCTTATCATTCAATATCTTAACTGATTGGATTGCTCCTGCAACAGCAAATAAATCCTTTAACATTTCGTCAGAAACTGATTTATGTAATCCTCCAACGTATAAGATCTTATTGGACACCTCACGTCCACCTTCAACTGCGCTAGCTGGATTCGTGTCTACTGCTTGTTCATTAGCCTTTTGCTGTTGAGCTTGTTGGCCTGTATGGGGCTGTTGCTGGTGTTGTTCGTTCGTTTGTTCGGTTGGTTGTTCTTCACTAGCAGAATTTTCTTCCTCTGAAACTGGAGCCGGTTTTTCACTAACCTCCTGTTTTTCTGACTCCTGTGCTTTTGGCTCGACAGTTGCCTGTTCAGTAGCTTCTGTGTGCTTAACTGGTTCACTACTTTGTTGATCTGACATTGTTGATTATGCAAAAAACTTTTAATTAATAAAGTAACAGGATTAGTATACGGATATAAAAAGGCAATTGTTCTTGGGATAAAAAATCTATATTAATATAATTCAATAGATTGTTAATACTTTAATATAATATCACTAAAAAAAACCTCCACGACTTTGATAAATGAAGGATAAAAATATGTCTATAATAACAAAAATTATATTAAAAAAAAGGATTGAATTGATTAAGTTGTTAAGAATGCCTTAGATTCTTCGTACCTTAAACTTTCAGTTAATTGATTGATTTAAATATGATTAACTTGTATGTACAAATTATCCTCTATTATTCAACTGGACGTTTAATTAATTTTCTCGGGATTCAAAAACACACCTACGATTACATAATCGAATTAATTTTTCAGGACGATAATACGATGATAATACGATGATAACGGTTAGGTAGCAGGGACCTTAGAAGGATGACTAGGCGTATAGTGGTTGGAATAGAGAACTCATCACATATTAAACGGATCAAGGTCTTTTTGGAAGAGTTGGATTTGTTTAATCGGAACAAAAAGATAAGTAGATCGGGCAATTTGCACCAATTATATACGACATGCAAGAATATAGAGGAATTGGAAGGCATTCCTGGAAAGGATATACAGATAGGTTACTATGAGGAAGAAAGTTCTGATAGAGGTACGTTAGAAGGTGTTGTTAGAGGGTTTTTGACGAACATGGGGTATGGAGGAGACGTTGAAAAATTATTGAAACACTTACCTAAAAAATGGTCGGTGTATCGTCCAATGATTCTATTGAATCTGGGTACGTTTGATAGTGATGTGTGGAAGGGCTTGTTTGAAGATGGAGGGCTTAAGGACGAATTTTTTAGACACGTACTTTCGAGTGGAGTATTTCCGGCTGGATTGACCCATATCGCGGTCAATAAGCCTATCATAGAACAAGACATAATGAGAAGACCTTTCAACATATTGCCGATGTATGGTGATTTTGGGCCAGAGCCCACGGAGGAGATGTTTGACTCTCCCAGTGAACAAGATTTTGAACAGGCTTTTTGGTGTTCAGTCGTTCAGAACGGAATATACCAAACATGGGCACCTCGGTATACGATGTTTTCGAGAGGGAACATCAAAGAGAAAAAAAGGTTGTTGGAGCAGTGTCAAGATGCTGACAAGAAGTGTGTGGTCGACTTGTACGCTGGAATAGGATACTTTACATTATCGTATCTCAAAAATGGAGCGACGGTCTTTTGTTGGGAAATCAATCCGTGGTCCATCAAAGGCTTGATAAAGAGTGTCACTGAAAACGGTTACAGCTATAAGTTGATCAGACGACAAGAATCGTTTGACCATGCTTCTTACAATGACGGCCCATCCGTGTATATTTTCCATGAGTCTAACGAGTTTGCCATGGAAAGATACCTGCAAATTGGAAAAGCCTTACCTCTTGCGCATATAAACCTCGGTCTTTTACCCACATCCACACCATCGTGGTCTATTACCAAGGCTTTGACACGCAAGTCGTCCACCGGCACCGTAATTCACGTTCATGAAAATGTGCATGTAGAAGATTTTGCCAAGATAGGCCAAAAGGCAGCGGATTACTTTGAAGGAAATGTCGTTACCATAAACAAGGTCAAGACATTTGCCCCTGACATATGGCATGTGGTGATAGATGTTTCGCTCGATTAACCCTACATGATGTCACCTACATACATTAGATACATATTGCATTTAAAATCATATACGCACAGAACAGAACTTTATTACTCTCTATCTTGTACTTTAGTGTTCAAATAGCCTCGGCTCATGATAACACAAGAATCATCATTACAATATGGTCGTACGCTTTACCTTGTTTACCGAATACATAGTCCGTTGGCTACCTCGAGCCTTACCATATACACTGTTAGTTCTCTCAATTACCCTACTCTTTCCTCTCACCAACCCAGTCCTATTTCCTTGTTACCCACATCCACATGCATTCTGTATATTTAGTTAACAATAGCATTCGATGAACCGTTGCCGGCATGCCGTACAGGCTGATGTTTGGTTCTAGGTGTACGGATCACGTTGGTCCTATTGTTACTGAATGGATGTCATCGTAGTTCCTAGACATTATTGGCTCATCGTGTGAAGCTCAAAACCTCATGATACCAACTGCGCCATTTTAACGTCATATTGAAGTGTTGAAGCGGTTATTTACAGTTACTACTAGTATATTGAGGTCAGTGGTGAAAATAATACAGTAATAGTCTATCTAGCCTGATAAGACACGATCAACTTACGATTCGAAGAGAGAAGGACACAATATTTGGTGACATAATTAATAATTTAGAACATAACTTGAGGTGCACTCGACCAGTAAATTAAAAATAAAAAACAATAGATAGAGTTTTTTATTAGTGGGTAATAAGGTGTGTCAATATGTCGAATGAAATAAAAAGCGAAGAAGATCAGCTATATGATATATTGAATCTTTCACCACCGGTAGATATAAAGTTGAACAGTCCCATAAATATGGCTGGACAAGGGCATTATAACCCGATGGGGGAGAGCCAATATCCTAAACCAGAGAACGAAGATTTATTTATAAAACCAGTAATGGGGGTGCCGGTGAATGCGCTACCGATGCAACTGGCAATGCAAAGTGGAAGCCAGGGGACATCGCATACGAACTCGACTTCGTCAATTTCTGCAGGGAATAACCAACATAATGGAGAAATGTACGATGGGATGTTCAACAAGAATGTAAATCTTAACTTGGGGAGCAATGCGGGAATGTCATTGAATTCAAATAACCTTCAACAGTTGAATGGCGAGCTATTATCACCTCCAAACATGTTTGGAAGCCTGAGTCATCTCCATCCACAATCGCCATCGGTATATTCATCACATTCATTGTATAGTGATACCTCACTGAACCCTGGTAGTCCGTATGTTGATGCCGCATCACACTTCAGTAATGCTTATTCTGATGTGCAGCAACCCCCACGTCAACAGCTACAATATCTTGATTCGAATAATCAGGGTCACTTAAATACATTTGATACCGAAATAGCGTTAGGTGGTTCTATATCAAGTACCAATCTCATGGGAATGTCGGAAAACGCTATGCAACAACCAGTTCCTCAGTTTAATTACTCAGTTACCCAAGCATATAATGGACAACCTGAACGGTACAACGGCAACAATAATTTAGCCTCGAATAACCATAACTACAACTATCAACAAAACATAAATTCCATGAACAAGTTGACGGAGAATAACTTGATTAATTATAATACAATGCAAAAAGAATCACAACGAGAGGTGTCAATTTCCATAGAACAAGCGCCCGAAGAAGTAGCAGCCAAAACACCATCCCTATTCAGTAATTCATCGCATAATTCGTCGAATAATTCTCCTCATAGGCCAAATTCTGGTAATGAGTTAATACCCAATTATCAATTAACACCTACGAGCCCAGGTTCAGTTATTTCGGACGTATCAGATCAACAGAGTTCGTTATTGAATCCAGATGAGTTTCAAACTATTAAAAGAGGTAGAAAGAAGAATCACTCTGCGAAAACCCTGCGGTCTAGGCTGAATTCCAGATCAGAATCAAAGTCTATGTCCCAGGAAGAAGATATGGATGATGATGGAAGTTCTTTTGTTTCAAATAATGGTGTAGTTTCGTCTAGGGAAAAGATGTTAGAATTGGCATCACCTAATCAATCGTCCAAAAGAACTCAAAAACACCCATCTGTGTACGCATGTCACTTGTGTGATAAGAGATTTACAAGGCCATATAACTTAAAATCACATCTTAGAACCCATACCGATGAGAGGCCTTTTATTTGTAATGTATGTGGGAAGGCATTCGCCAGACAACATGATCGTAAAAGACACGAGGATTTGCATACGGGGGAAAAGAAGTTTCAATGCAAAGGATTTTTGAAAGATGGCACTCCGTATGGCTGTGGAAGAAAGTTCGCGAGAGCAGATGCTTTAAGGAGACATTTCCAAACCGAAGCAGGTAAGGAATGTATAAGGCTTCTAGTCGAAGAAGATGAAAAAGATCGTGGGGATGGCCCTCCAAGGGATCCTGGATCGATCGGCGAAGCAGGAACGACAAATGAATACTTGAGTCCAACCAGTGCGTTGATAAGTAGTACAACCAATAGTATGCATTCAATTCCTCAAGTCGCTATTTCTCCTCCAGATTAAATTCAGGGCCATATTACAATAATGAGTACCGATGTCATTTATTAATGGCTTCGAATATGTACTCTTATTAACTCGAGAAAGGTTCGGTATATATCCTGGTAAGGTTTCGTCAGGTATTTATATTTCTCATTGTATTATATTAAACTATGCTGGATGAAGATAGAAGTGTTGCATTAGTATTTGGGGTCTCAAAAGTAAGTCAAATTCTAAATGATGTATCGTCATTCACATACTTGGTGTCCTTCGAATTCAATTCGATTGAAATATATGTATCGACATCGCTAATCTATGTGTGACTAAAGAACGTTATAATTCACATTGAATAATTTTAAATAAGACTAATTATGAGTATCAACAAGTAATGAAAAATTATATAGTAACAAACTTGTAGCTTAACTTTGTAAATTTGATAGGCTTCTGATCCCAACAGCTTGACAAGAAATTCGCACAAAATATAATTTCAATTTTTTATCGAAAACTTGAATTTATAAAGTAAGCTTTTACGTATTAATACTAAAGATGTCATTGGAACACGATGATCAGATGATAGATAGACTATCATCTAACTTCCAAGAAGTTAAGAGTAAAGAAGAAAAAACACTAGAAGAATTACAACATTCTAAACAGGAATTAATGGCCAAACAGAATAAAGAGTTTCTTGAAGAATTATTTAAAGATAATGCAAGTACTCCTATAAACGTTAAAAACATACAAGTTACGAATTCACAATCATTTAGAAACACATTTCTTCAAAAGCAACTCCAACCTTTGTTATCTAATAACTTGACTACATTGACAAATTTAACTGAGAATATAGATCAAGTTACTCACAACTTTACAAAACTAGGTCTTGTTGAAAATTTGTTGGTGAGTTTGAATCCAATACCGAAGACATACTTTAATAGAGGCAAACCGTCCATTGACTTGGTGCCAATTTTCAATATCATACCTGTGAAACGATTTTATGCTAAGACCGGTACAAACATTGGAAATGGTGAAGGTGATGGGTATATTCAATTTCAAATCAAGAATATTTTTGGTGGAGCAGAGAATATTACATTTGATGCCATAACTGGTACCAGAACCCAATCGTCTTATTTACTTAATTATAATCAGCCGATTTTTAATAATGCAAATTATATCTGGGAAAACTTGGCGTACCTTAACATTAAAAAATTACATTGGTTGAATAGTGATCTTGATGTTAAGGGCATAACTAATAAGATATACACTCAATATAAGCTGACTATCAATCACGAATTAATTTTGGAGAATTGTTGGAGATGTTTGACAAATAATCAATCTAAGTCGTTAGATGTTTTAAATCAACTGGGAAACAACTTCAAGTCATCCATAATGTATAACTGGAGATATGAAACAAGAAATAACATTCATTTACCTACAAGTGGTAAATTCATCAGATTAGGTATTGAATATTCCGGTTTATGGAGTTTCAACTCGTCACATTTCATTAAATCAGTTATGGAATCTCAATTTGCGTATAAATTTAACAAGTTACATTCAATTATTTTGTCTTGCAAGTCAGGTTTAATATTTTCTACGGATAATGCAACACCTGTATTAGATAGGTTCTATATTGGTGGGCCAAATGATGTAAGAGCCTTCACATTAAACGGTCTAGGACCTAAGAATTATAACTCATCCATCGGAGGTGATGTTTTCCTCAATGGTGGCATCTCACTCATCTCCAAATTTCCAAGAGTAAGCGATGATTCTAATTTTAAGATTCACAATTTTATCAATTTTGGTAAATTATTACCGTTAGATAAATCTAAAACATCATTAGTAACAGTCAAGAATCTAACGACTCAATTCTCAGTTGGATATGGTTTTGGTGTTCTTTATAATCACCCAATGGCAAGATTCGAATTGAATTTTGTTTTGCCTATCGCTTCACACGAGAGAGATTATATACGGAAAGGTCTACAGTACGGTATTGGTATTTCTTTCTTATAATTGTAAATAGCTTGTATATTATATTTTATACCACACAAGATGTTATTCTTTTTTCTTATGCTTTCTAATTTATTTAGAATGATGTTCAATCCATTCGGAATGTTCTTTAATTACTGCAGGAATAATTAATCCTTCAATATCCATTTCGTCTTCTTTTTGTTTATCTGTTAATCTGATCCAAAGTTCGGATCCATCTGAATGAACAAATACAACTTCCTTCTTTCTGGTTTGTAATAAGTTACCAATCACCAACTGATGTTGGTATCTTTCTAATGCACCCTTGGATTTTTCGATTAAGATCAGATGATCCGTTTCTAATTTGAATGAAACAATCATTGCAGATGGTGCCCAATTGTCAACCAACCTTCTCAAGAATTTTGGGACTTGTTCCAAGTTAATTATCAATTTACCTGCAGCTTGGGATTGTATTTTATGCTGAGGCATTCTCGATTGTGGTAAGAAGAAATCTGAGACGGCAGCTGCTAAGTAAAACAAAGCCTTGTCTTCAATTTTTTGTAATAAAATAGCCATCAATTTCAATGTGTATAAATATTGATTAACATTCGTAAATGGTATTAATAATAACGACTGTGATTCTTTTGCTTCTTTGTACTTTCTTAAGACAACCAACATCTCATCTGCAAAATTAGGATTAATTTCGACCTTATTATTAACTTCTGTCATATAATCTAAGAAACAATTAGTTGTGTGACTGTAATGCCTTGAATATGGCAAAAGCGAAAACTCTCTATGTAAAAATATAACGGCATACCCATTCTCTAAGAAGTACTCTGCCGACGTTGCTCCTCTCGTACCGGCACTGAAATTATCAATAAATCTAACAGTGTTATTTTCTAATGGAACAGTTGTACCACCAGATGTTACTAACACGATACGTTTGCCAGTATTAGCAGCATGATATTCAACAAAAGCTGTCACCTGCTTCTCGATCTCCGGTAAATATGGGGGAGCCTTGTGAGTTCTGAAATATTTATCTTCGTCAGATAACTGTGCAATTGGCAAATCTGGAATAGTTCTGTCAATTGCAGTTTCTGCAATCGGATTCGACGTGTGGTATGTCTTCTGCTGTGGTGATTTTGGTGTCATTTTGGTGAATAACTATCTTCCAGTGTTAAAAAATAGAATGAGTGGTAATAAAATTTCGATGTATCACGAAAATCTTACTAAACCAATTACATCATAAAAATTTATAAACTCTGTTAACGATTTTTACAATGAACCCAGTGGTTTTCTTAGATGTATGTACCTATATGATACCATTAATGCTTCTAATTGATACTAACAACTGAAATCAGGTGAATAAAGGAGGTATGTGCTATTTGTACTCACTATCATGGCTACCTAAGCTACAATAATATAGCTTGCATTTACTAACATATATACCAGAAGTTCCGTTGGGACGCATAAAGATCAAACTATTTTCAAGTGAATTGCCTAAGTATGTATGCTCCGTACCATATGGATAAGGATCCAAACTAACAATGATTTAAGGACTTGTGAAAATTTCAGGCAATTCTGCACCGGTGAATACAGAGAGAGCAATCGCCCAAAAGGCTACAAAGGCTGTACATTTCATAGGGTAATCAAAGGTTTCATGATTCAAGGCGGTGATTTTGTCCGAGGGAATGGCTTGGGGAGCATTTCCATATATGGAGGTAATACATTCGACGATGAAGGATTTCCCTATGATCGTAAGTTATTTTCTAATAATTCTACTGCTCTTAGATATACATACTAACTGGTATCTTTAGACAAGAAATATAGTGTTTCTATGGCCAATTCTGGGCCTAATTCCAATGGATGTCAATTTTTCATATGCTGCAAAGAGGTCCCACATCTAGATGGTAAGCACGTTGTATTTGGAGAAGTAGTTGAGGGATTTGATATTGTAGATCAAATAGAAAAGACTAAAGTAGGGGTTCTTGATAAGCCATACCCCGATATATCGATAACCAATTGTGGTGAGATGTAGATTGATCTAACCACAATTTTTCGAATTCCTTAATCCAGGGCTATCGTCTGAAAACTAGATAAATTAGAGATAGTCATATATGTACTTTTAGCCTAACAGTTATAGATTAATGTCATTATTTGTATCTGTACATTTTGTACATTTCGTAATATGTGCGCCTATTCTATCAGACCAGATAGTCTTGCGATTTGAAAAAAAACCAATTATACGATATCTTAATACATTAGACAGATAGGCCATTAAGATGTCAGCAGACTTCTGGAACTCGTCACAACGTAACAAATGGCAACTTACCAGGCATTCTTTGTTGGAATCAAGGCGAAAACTCCTCTTACTTGAGAAAAAAATGATTCAGAATGGATTTATCAAGGATTACCCAAATGTCGAATATGATGCCAATACAAGAATATATTTGCATAATTGTATGTCATATTTATACTACTTATGAAATGAATTGAAAAGAAATGTTGATACTAACTAGAATAAAGTACTTATTAAACTAGGCAGAAGGCTCAATGTCAGACAAATTGCATTAGCTACAGCAGAAATATACATGAGCAGGTTCCTCATCAAAGTGCTGTTGAAGGAAATAAACGTATACTTGCTCGTGACAGCTTGTCTATATGCTGCTTGTAAAATTGAGGAATGTCCCCAGCATATACGGCTTATTACATCGGAGGCACGGAATCTATGGCCAGAATACATCCCCCAGGACGTAACCAAGCTAGCCGAGTTTGAGTTCTATTTGATCGAAGAAATGGATCTGTTCTTGATTCTACATCATCCGTATCGGTCACTCCTACAGATAAGGGACTACTTGAACGAGAACTTCGCTCTCTACGGATTTTCGTTGTCAGACGACGAATTGCAGAATTCATGGTCCCTTATAAACGATAGCTACATTACCGACCTCCATCTCCTATTACCACCACACATAATAGCCATTGCTACCGTATATATAACCATAGTGCTCAAGAAAAATATCAGTTCGTTGCGTCTTGGTGCAAATTCGTTGTCCAACGATGCAGTAGGCTTGGACCCACATACAAAACCCAACCCCAACTCCATCCACGCCGAAGACCTCATGGCCTTGGCCACTGGTGGCTCCGCAATCAATGACATCGGGAACCAGTCCTCTGATACGAACGGTTTCCACGACACAGAACTAGACGAAAATACAATCAAGATCAACAAATTCATGGCTTTTCTAGATCATTCCCATATCAATTTGAACGAGGTCGTTGAGGCTATACAGGACATCATCAGCTTGTATGCCGTTTGGAACAGGTACAATGAAATGTCTGTGAGAAAAGTGCTACAAGATATGCTATTAAATAGATCTGTATAAATTCGAAGATACCTATTTTAACTACACATAGAGTCTGAACAGCTTAATTTCCTTACTGCACCCGTCGTTATCCTCTCTACTGCCCTAATCCTAACAACAATAGCTGATTACAATTGGAACGTCTAACAATCGATTTCAACTTCACGTGATAGATTTAAAATATACGTGTTGAATTTTTTTTATTCCGAATAGGTTGAAAAAGTTGATTCTTATATTGATATTGGCTTAAGTAACTGGACTCAAGAACATATTTCCTAAGGTATAGACATTCATAGTTGTTGGAATAGAAAGAAAAATTCATATCTATCGCTAAGTATTGTCAGGAAATAATTCAGCATGTCTTCTTCGTCTCAGCCTAAACCAGTTGACACATCACCAATTATCGAGAAACACAATGAAAAATACCATAATTCATATCTAGCCATGGTCGAGAGGAACCAAATACCGTTGTCTCGAGCGCTTTTATGTGGTATACACCTATTTAACTATATCTTTCCAGGAGGGTTTGCATCGAAATTTATTCGCTTACAGTACAGAACAGGCACGTCGTACAGTGGGAGTGCATTGTACGATATTGGGATAGACGACGGATATTATGTTGTTCACTGGGTTATATTGCTAACATTTCTAAGATCGTTTCTCATGCAGTGGTGCTTTGAACCATTTGCCTCATACTTCTGTAATATTCATTCTAGAAAGGCTAAGGTGAGATTTTCCGAACAAAGTTGGTCGTTTGTGTACTATTCATTTTCTTTCATATATGGTGCTTACTTATATTACAACTCGCCATACTGGCTCAACTTCGATCAGGTTTTTGCAAACTGGCCGCATTATCAACTAGGATCGTTATTCAAGAAATACTACCTCATTTCTATGGGATTCTGGTTGCAGCAGATTTTCGTGTTGAATATTGAAGAAAGAAGAAAGGATCACTTTCAGATGTTCAGTCATCATATAATTACGTGTTTGTTGATTATTGGGTCATATTACTATTATTATAATAGAATCGGTCATTTAATCTTGATGATTATGGATTCAGTAGACATATTCTTAGCAGCTGCAAAACTTTTGAAATATTCGGGTTACAACAATGCCTGTGATTTTATGTTTGTTTTATTCATGGTCTCGTGGGTAGTGTTGAGACATGGCCTTTACAATTATTTATTCTACCAGACTTGGCATAATGCATCGACTTTAATGAGCAATTCAGAATGTATACCAGGTCAGTTACAAAAGAGATGCTGGACGCCGACAATTCTTAATAGTTTCTATTGTTTGTTGGGTGGTTTGCAGCTAATCACAATGATCTGGATGTACCTTATTTCGAAGGTTGCCTACAAAGTTATACTGGGAAAAGGAGCAGAAGATGTTAGAAGTGATGAAGACGATCTGGATTTCGAAGAAGATAGTAATTTAGAGCCTGATGGTCATCATTCTTCGAATAAAAGAAGAGACTATCCTAATATCGGAAGTGACATTAATATAAAGTAACTAAAAATACTGCGGTGTTGATTTCTGCTACACACCAAATAAAAATATGCTTTTGTATAATAGAGATACTTGCAAAAAAGTATTGGAATAAAGATTTTTATTCAGAAAATTATCTTCTAATTGCACTTGATGCTATTTAATTTCATGGAAAATATGATATTTTTGATATATACGTATGTATAGATTTTAATTAATTTTTAACCCTAATAACTACCCATGAATAAAGTTGTGTATAAACATAAAAACATAACCCCAAATCCCCAAATCACTAAAGCAAGTGAACATGACTTCAATAAAAGGTCAGTCTTTGATGGATAATCGACTTCAGAACCAATTAATTTATAACCAAATAACCCCGGTAATATGAATGAGATAGCCGTAGAGCCTGTGGCCCCAATAATGGCTAAGACAAAAGCAAATGATTTAACAGCGATAGCAAGAGTGTAACCTGTAATCAACAAGACCGTAGTAATGGTTAAGAATACATCGCGTGAAAAAGGAACAACAGTAGTCTTTCTTGACAAATCCTCCAGTACAGAACCAGTCTCATGAATTTCCTGGGAGGCATCATCTAGCAATGCAGTTGTCTCATCATCATTGTCTCCATGATCTTCCTTTTGCATGATTTTGGAATTGACCGTATGGTAGATATTATTTACTGAAATTCTTGCTGGGTGAAGCATTAATGGGAATGAAAAAACAACCATGAAAACAATGCAGAGCCTTCCTAAAGTGGTAGTAAACGAGCTTGGATACAGTAAGATGACATTTCCATTAACTTTATCTCCGAACGTGGAATATCCAGCTAATCCAACTACAATGAACAACACAGATGATACAATTATAGATATATTAATTAGCTCTGTGATGCTCTTCAAGGACTTATCCTTGGCTTCATTAATTATTGAAAACATGTTTTGATGACCAGTGAAGGCAAATACAGCAATCGAGAAGGTACTGAACATTCCTAGGATATTTGGGGGAAATAATTTAATATCACCTTTGGAGCTATCCGGGATATCATCAATAAGAAAATGAGCAATTACCAACAATGCCATGTAGAAAATTGCTACCAACCCCAATATAGATGTATATTGGAGAGATGACAAATTCTTCATAAATGACAATGGAACACAGATAACTGTCGAAACAAGGATCCAAAACGTTCTATAATGCTCCTCTGAGACAAAAGATATATTGGTAATAATCGTAGGCATCAAGTCCCCAATTAATACCAAATATGAAATAGCACACCCAAAGCACTGGACTGCGATTGCAATGTCGAATACCACCGATAAGGAGGGATATGTGATGGAGCAAATATTGAAGAATGTTGCATGACCCAAAGGAGCATATTTTGAAACATATCCTTGGAGGAAAAGACCATATCCTGATGTAAGAGCTGCTAATAATATAATCACCGTACCTAGAATACTACCATCTGTAGAGTAGGTATATGGCATTGAAAGGAGGCCTGCACCAATAATAGTCTTCATTAAATTGATTGCGGACGACACCATCGATGCCCCTTGATGTAAATCAACTGTGGGCATAGTCGGTTTGTATGTATAAGTCTAATAAGTTGAATTTTAAGTTAGAAGAGGATCTATTGCTTAGAAAGAAGAATTCTGTACAGAAAGCCCACAATAAAAATACGCGCATAGAATTTGTTTTGATCTGTCTTGATCCACCATAAAAATAATCTACAATTTCTTAAACGCCTTGACCAAAGTTGATTAGAACTAGTATCAAGACAGAGCAGCATATACAGGTGGGAAGTACGTGTGTTCTGATACCAAAATTGTTGCCACTTTATTCACGAAAAAATTGAAATTGGTTCAGAGATGAATGCAACTGGTACTGTGGCTTCGTTGTCTGGATTGAACAGTTCAAGGGAATCGTCGATTACAGTGGCTGTTAGGGTTAGACCATTTACTCCTGGTGAAGAAAACAATCTTGTAAAGTCAAATAATGAAGAATTTTTTCTAGGAGATGGATCATTGAGTACCAATAACGCTGCAACTGATACCCCATCGAAGAAGTCTAATTTGATGCCCAGAGGTATACGAAAAATCATAAATGTTGTGGATGATAGAATGTTGATATTTGATCCACCGGAGACCAACCCATTAATACAGATGCAGAGAAATGCGTTCCCTAATACCAAGGCCACTTCTAGGATACGAGAACATCGGTTTGTGTTTGACAAGTTATTTGATATACATGCAACGCAAGAAGACGTGTATAACAACACTACTAGGCCCTTATTAGATAGTGTTTTGGATGGCTTCAATGCGACCGTATTTGCGTATGGCGCAACTGGTTGTGGTAAGACACATACAATTCTGGGCACACCTCTTGATCCAGGGGTAATCTTTTTGACAATGAAGGAATTGTACGAGAAAATCGAGGCCCTAGCTGATACTAAACTTTTTGATGTTAGCATGTCCTTTTTAGAGATTTATAATGAGACGATACGAGATTTGCTCAATCCAGAAACAAACTTCAAGCGACTTGTTTTACGAGAGGATGCAAATAAAAAAATATCTGTTTCCAATTTACTGTCACATAAACCAAAATCTGTTGAAGAGGTTATGGATTTGATACTTGTTGGTAACCAAAATAGAACAAGTTCACCTACAGAAGCAAATGCTACTTCGTCAAGATCTCATGCCGTACTTCAAATCAATGTAATTCAAAGGAATAGAACTGCGGATATAAGTGAAGAGCATACTTATGCTACTTTATCAATCATTGACTTAGCTGGGAGTGAAAGAGCGGCTGCCACTAAGAATCGAGGAGCGAGATTGAATGAAGGTGCAAATATCAATAAATCTTTGTTAGCATTGGGCAACTGTATAAATGCATTATGTGATCCGAGAAGAAGGAATCATGTTCCCTATAGGGACTCCAAACTTACTAGATTACTAAAATTTTCATTGGGTGGAAACTGCAAAACGGTGATGATTGTTTGTGTGTCTCCTCTGTCTCAGCATTATGATGAAACACTAAATACTTTGAAATACGCAGATCGAGCGAAGGAAATCAAAACAAAACTTATAAGAAATCAACACAACCTTGATAGACATGTTGGCTCTTATTTGAAAATGATTACTCAACAAAAACAAGAAATCGAAGATTTAAGAGCCAGGGAACTAAAAGTGGTTGAGCTGACTATTGCAAAGCAAAATATATTGAGCCAGAAATGTCATAATGTTACCATGGATAATATAAGTAACTTGAAAGCATCTTTAGCGAAGCAACATCAAGAGAAATGGAAGAAGTATTTCTTTTTGGCTAAGAGGAAGTTATTATTAATTCAAAAGCTCGAAATGGAAGCCTTGGTAAAATATCTCCACAAAATAGCCAAGGGCGGAAACATCAACGGCTTCAAAAACATTGTCAACTTGTCAGAACAATTGATTTCCAAAATAACCACTGGCATATCTGACCTAGAGACCCAATATTCCCGACCCAATGAAATTGATTATATTTTTAATGAATCCACGCTACAAATGTTGAAGAAACTAAAAGAACAAGAGGGTTGGTCGAATCATAATACTGTAGTGTTTGATTCGTTAGTGGCATGCCTAAGAGACTCGCTAGAAAGAGAAATTTTATTCAATTCATCTATTTTGTTCGATCACCTTGTCCACGAAATACGAGGATTTGATTTTTTTCCTAAAAGTTTCATAGACATGTTGGCAGCTTATTCCCACTCCGAAAAGGAAAATATTCATGAATATACCACGGCCAGTGTGTCAAACGCAATAAATGGTCTTACTAAAACTTTAGAGGAAATACTTGATGGTGAGTATGATACTGTAATTGAAAATGTTACTTCGTCATTCATGCAAAGAAAATTAAAAGAGCAAGAAATGCAAGCAAATAAAGTTAATAACCATACTCTTGATCCATCTATAGCCATGCCGAAACCTAGGGATTGCAAACGAGGTTCCAATTCACCCTTAAAATCTTCTCCTCCGAGAGATTTCAAGAAATCTATAACCAAGAAGAACGGATCGAGTATTTCACCAGCCATGCTACAAAAGCAAGGTAAGAAAGTTCGTTGGGATGTTCCTAATCAAGATTCAACGTTGGCTGAGAGTGATGTAAGCATAGACGAACAAAATACCATCCTCAAGAGTGATTATGACGATGACTCGCCTATAGGAAACAATATCATTGATAAGACAAATATGATAGATGATTTGGACCTAAAATTTGATCCGACTCTTGATTCACCCCCATTGGCCCAACTACTCAAAGATAACATGAATCGAAGTCTAATGGCAGATTTGAGCAAGGGTAGGAACAAACATCGCAAATTCCAGCCGCTAACCAATCGTAAGTTATCCGCGAATGAAAATAGCGAACCGTTAACCAAGCTCCCACTATTAAATAAACAGGCGAGCACCAAGATAACCAATTCAATGCAATCGGCTACGCCGAATGAGATGTCCGAATCAACCCCAAACTATCTTTCTGGGACTCAAACAAACACTAAGTTTAAAATGAACTCGTTGGGGGCCCCATCTAGAGTGATCAATAGATATAACACCTATGTGGACGACGAGGATTCTAGAGATATAGAGAGCAATGGATCGGAGAAAGTCGAGTAGGCTTCCTGTATTCAACGCTTGCAATTGATATAGAATAAATGTATAATGAGTTATGATATACGGTAAACACGAATTAAACAAAAGCAAACATTATTTATTGATTTTTGTATAACTAAACTCAGAGAATTCATAAAAGCATTAAATAAATTACCATCTACCACCTTGGTTTCCACCTTGGCCACCGCCGTAGCCTCCTTGGCCACCACCATATCCACCTTGACCACCACCGTAGCCTCCTTGACCACCACCGTAGCCTCCTTGGCCACCACCGTAGCCTCCTTGGCTACCGCCAAATCCACCTTGGCCACCACCGTAGCCTCCTTGGTTTCCACCATGGTTTCCACCGCCATATCCACCTTGGCCACCGCCGTATCCACCTTCGTGTCTACCACCATGGCTACTACTGTGGCTACCACCGTATCCACCTTGGTTTCCACCGTATCCACCTTGATTACCACCGTAGCCATCGTTTCTACCTTCGTGTTTGTCTCCACCTAAAAAGTTGCTCAATCCACTCATCAATCCACCTCCTTGATTACCATGTTGACCGTGACCTTGGTTGTGGTTTGAAGATCCGTGACTTTCAAATCTATCTTCGATCTTGTTTGCTCCGATTGCACCAGCAATAGCTCCACCAATACCACCTAAAGTGGAGTGGTTTCCTCCTAATTTGGATCCACCAAATGCTCCAAGAGAACCACCTGCGAGTGTAGACATGAGTCCTCTGTCACCATCTTCTCCTTCTTGGCCTTGTTGACCTTGTTGACCTTGTTGACCTTGTTGTTGGCCTTGTTGTTGATCACGTCTTGGTTCGTATGATCCTTGATCACCGGATGAATAAAAATCGTTTGCGGACATAATTGTATTTTTTTAATGAAATTTATTTAAATCAATTGAATAAATAATATTATTAGAAAGAGTAAATTATTCGATTCAATCGATTCACAGCGATCAGTTCTCGTTTTATAGTCTCCTCCTTGTGTTTTATACGATTGTTCTTTTACTTGTGAAGAATGCATCATTACGTAACGCAATTAATTTCAGTCACCGAGTCTTCAGCCACATTGGTCACAAATCACCGAAGTAAGGGGCTCATACAGACCAAATGCCATAGATATACGTGTTAGAAATGGCCATGTAGGACAATGCGGTCGAACGACCAAAAATAGAAAGACTTGGTTAGATATGTGTTGTAGTGAAGAGATTTTGTATACGGGGCGTGTATAGTGTATGTATAGTGATGTAAGTGCTATTATCCTATTGTATTAAGGTGTTGATGGTGAAATTTAGTTGTGTACGGTGGTGAATTTTAGTTAGAGAATTCTATTGAATCGTAACATGTAGATGTTGGTAATGTTGTAGGATTACAAGTGGCTTAGATGCTGGATATTTGAGAAACAGCTCGAAGACATTGTTATTGTAGGAACATGTCAATGCATGATGCTGCGATTATGTTGCTCCGAGTATTCACGGAGATTTCTTCGATATCAGAGTTAAATAGTGCTGCTAGAAGGTGCCATGGAACAGCAGACAGTATATGCAATCTTCAATCGTCAATTTGTGAGACATGTAGTGATATTGTCCTGTTGGGTGCATTGTAGATTTTGACGTTAATTCTACATTCGCTATCTTACCAATTCTAGCCAATAAAGCATCATTTTGAACCTTTCAGCAAGTTTGCTTCTGGCAGTTGACACTCCTGGCAATTAGTGAGTTATTATTCAACTATCTACACTTCATTATCATAAATTGCTTTCAATTAAATATTAACCTATGTAGACCTAATGCGTGGGTAAACAAACCTACATGATTACACAATCTTTCTCCTGTGCCCCATTGGCAGACGTAGGGGCTCTTGAAGAGGAAAATCTCTTCTTGGCCTTCTTCTCGATAGAAGACGCCAATTCTTTATTTGTGATCCTCGACAACGACTTCTCGTCCCCGTTCTGGGCTGCTTTTTGGTACCAGTGCTGCGATTCGTGGACATTCTTGATACACCCGATTCCCTTTTCATAAAAGTTAGCTAACGCAAACTGGGCCTTAGGCAATTCACACATGGCAGCCCTTTTGGCCCACTCAAATGCCTCAGTGTCATCTTTGGGTAAGTATGGATCTGATCCAACAAGATACCACGCACACATCGCCAACATCGATTCGGGGTCTCCGCCTAACGCAGCTGTGGTATAGTAATGGATCGAGAGGTTTGAGTCCTGGGGAAGAATGTCTCCAAACTCGTAGCATTGGCCTAGAATAGCGGCCGATTGGACATGACCAAGCGCTGCAGCCTGGGCGTATAATTCTAATGCATATTTTTTATCAGCTATGACAATATCTTGAAACCCGTTAAAATAAATCTTTCCCAACTCATAAGGTGCAGCTGCAATAAGCTCATTCGCTACGTTAGAGGCTCTCGTTAGCCATTTTATCCCGATCTTCTTGGTATTCACTTGCGAGGATAATCCCATTCTTCCGTAGAATGAGTACACCCCTAATTTGTACATAGCAGCCGCATGATTTTTGGATGCAGCCATCTTCAAATAATCAATGGCCTTTCTCGCATCACGACCAGTTCCCAATCCTTCTTCGTAACAGTATGATGTTCTATAAGCTGATTCTACGTGGCCGTGCTTGGCCGCGGATTGAAACAACACAAATGCTTCTCTGTTTTCAATCTTGCCTAATGCTCCCGAACTGTATGCATCAGCCAACAAATACTGTGAATCAACATACCCTTTGTCGGCCAATTTCTTCAAGTAGAAAAGTGCTTCTTTTAGCAATGCTTTTTTCAACTTCTTATCGTCCAAATTGATGTCGGAACCACTGAAATCAAGCGATGCAGCCGACCTTGACTTGTTATGTGATTTTTTGAAAATATCACTACCTAAATTCAACGACGACCCATTGGTCTCCTTGTCCAACGGACCCTTTTTAGGTGAATTTTCAATAGATTGTCCCTGGGGAGTATTAGTAGAACTTAATCCTGCATCAGTCGAGTCTAGCATAAGCGCTGTTTGCAACATATACTGGGCGTACTGGAACAATACGCTCGGGTCATTCGACCGTTTCGCGTTCTTCCTATACAATTCGATGGTCTTAATTCGTGGTAATAAGTGGCTAGAATTATCACCGAGGTATTGCTGTATAATGTTTTGACTGAAGTCAACCATACTGGCATTGTCAGAACGGTCGTGGAAGAACGATGATGTCGACGACACGGACCTGTTGTGGCCAAACTTGGCGAAATCAGGCGCCGATGTAACCAAATTGTTCTCCGATTTCGAGAATATCTGGCTATCCAATGCATTTTGGTTGAGATTGAGGTTCGTCACAGACGAAGTGGTAGATAACGGATTCGAGTTAGGAGACATAAGCGGTGGTTCCTTCTGGGCAAACACCGGTGGTGGCGTCAGCGACTCATACACCGGGTATGGGGCCTTGGTACCCGCTGCTCCGTCCGCTACATTATTATCACCACCTAGCACCCCCAAAGGTGCTGGAATGTCCATTTCTTGAACTGGAGTATGGTATCCCGATCCTGGGGCCTGTCCTAGAGATCCGCTCGACTCGTGTCCACTGTGGTTGTTCCCGACTTCACGAGGCGGTGATGGCTCTCCATAGTCCTCAACTGGATATGGAGCATTTGTACTTACTGCCTTCTGGCGATATGGGTGACTACTCATCTCAAGCTGTCTGTACACTAGTCTTCTGTGCTAAAATTGTCTTTTCTGGTGCCGAAATCTAATCCCGCCGACTCAATCCTTCCGAGTAGCAACTGTCGTAAAAAATAGCTCTTTAATTCTATATTACTAACAGTTTAAATCTATAACGATCTATCGTTTCCAGACTATCCCTTTTAGTACGTCACTACCACTATATATGGCTTTAAATACGTATATGATTAGCTATGATAAACTGTTTCTTCTAGAATTTTTCCAAATCTTTTTCTTACACTAATATTGAGAGGGCGTGGTCCGATCCAAAATCCAAATATATTTCATCTGGTATCGAAGGTTTTGTTTTAAACGAACGGGTATAGTTCGGTATGTGGGGCCTCTCGTAAGCATGATCACGTCACAGGATGTGTGGAATGAAATGTATAATTGTTTTATTTACGTGGACAGAAATAGAAGTGTTGTTCAAGAATGTAGGTGCAGCGTGTTTTGGGAACGGGCTCAACATAGAATGTCGAGAAAATGCAGATCGTAGGAACCGTACAGAGTCTATTAAATATATATATATATTATATACGTGTAGAGGGTATCGAATGCCACGTAATGCCGGGTGTATTAGCAGAAACGTTGTGATTGAAGAGTCGTAATGCTTATGTCCGACTGAAAAAGTTGAAATAGGCTGCAATGAAGGCCGCGACCACCACACCAACAAGGGTGAATCGTTGCACACCAAATGAGGGGGTCAGATGGTCGTCTTGCTCGACAAGAAGCCTGGCTCTGTCCTCGGGGTCCAACAGATCGATGTTTTCCCGGACATTGAAGGGCTTTTCTGGATCTGTGGAGTCGGTGATGACTGCGGCCTGCTCACGAGCGTTTCTGGCCGAGACATCAACCTTATTCTGGGCCACCAAGTCAGGAAATTGCTTTGTAAACCGCTGGTTCTCGGCGTTGTTCCATTCTTTACTTGAGCGTGCGAGTCTTTTCTTGACGTTATCGCTGGTGGTAATCGACCCCGTGGTGGACTCGTCGCCCGTCATGAAACTGAGAAGTCCCGTCAAAATCGTGGCCACACTCCACGCCGGATTCCAGGTGTCGGGGTGGTAGTCACTCATCGAGAGACATAATCGTGTGTTGCATGCAAATCTCCCGTTAGGAGTAATCATCGAGATCGATGGAGGCTTGAACGGGTATTCTGATGGAAACCGCAAGATCCCATGGTACTGGCCCTCTTCGAATGGCGTGTGTGGTGGTCCTGTTATCACGTAGTGCCACTCCAATATATTTTCATCATTCGGCTTGGCACTAACATATGGGGGCGGATTAAGCATAATAGCCTTATATTCTTTTGTTAGTCTTTTCTGGGATTGTCTAGACGCCATCGTTCTTGTGATGTGATATAACCTTTGTCTTTTTGGATAGTAGAAATGAAAAAATGTGCAATAAATTTATAAATCCCCGACTTCTTCGATAAAACTGATTAGATTGTAACCGTTTTCAGCTGGATATGACCTGTAAATAACCAAATATAAGCGTATTCTATCGGAAAAAGCCCATAAAGAATAGATAAAATCCAACAATTACACATCGATGCGTATCGATACTACAAAGTTGAGGCGCACACGAGCTATCATATTACTACTATAAAAGACGAATAATCTATCTATAGACGAAGCCCAGGGTAGTAGGATAAGTAGATCAGCTCAGAATGGGCTGTTTTTATTGCAGAAACTCCTTTTGTGCTGACGAAGTGGTGGAAAAAGGTGTTTCGTTGTTAAAATCACATTTTGCAATCATTATCCGCAGAGATGACTAATTGTGGTCGATCTACTTTTTCTGGCCAATAGCCAAGATTAAACTGGTTTCGACCAAGTAGACGGTTGTCCCGTTGGATATTTTGGATCTGAGTTGGTTATTTTTCAATTTTTCGTTGATTTTATCGGGTAAGTGGTGCTCTATAAATGGCTGTTCTTGCCACAAGTACACGCGGGCTTCTCTTGCACTCGAAACGTTAGTGAGATTGGAGTATTCACCCAATGTTTTGTTGAGTGCATCGACCTTCAAGCCACCCATGTGTCTGACAGCCTCGGATGCACTTTTGGCGGCGGAAACAGATGTCTCAACGTCCTCGTTGTAGAAGTCGACAATGAACAACCATCCTCCAGGTCTGAGAAATGTGGCCAACTTCTGTGTCACTTTCTCGTAATTGTCTATGTGATGGTATGAAAGAGTACATGTAATAAGGTCCATGGAACCTTCAAACTGAGATACTACTTCCTGTGCTGTAGCGTCCAAGATATCGCACAAGTATGATGTCATCGCGACCCCGTCGTATGTAGCATTGACATGGTTGGCCTTTTCGTTATACTTGGCCAAAAAGGTTGGGTTTATGTCAACGCCAATGATCTCTGACGTCTGATCCGAATTTGTAGCTAAATACGGAGCAAAATACTGAGTAAGTATACCTGTTCCGCATGCGAAATCCATCATCTTCATCCCTGGCCTGAACGCACTGCTGGGAAATTGTGTCCCGAATGTATGTGGATCTGGTAATGACTTATCTGGTGAGAACCCATTGTACGGTTGTTCTGGGTCTCCGATCAATCTATTTGACTCTTCAGGGGTCTTTCTTGGACTGCCCACATCAAATTCCAATAAAGATTTGGCGAAGAAGACACTCAAAAACTGCATCGCATCACGCTTATCGTAATCCTCGGCCATCTTCGAGTCAAATACCTTAATATTGGCTTCAATTGCAACTTTGTGCTGATCTTCTGTCATGTTAATTGTGCTATCCGTAGAAAGAAGTGCTAGAATTATGTCCTGATTCTATAAGTACCGTTTATTTGGTTTGTGTCACTATCAAACTCAACACGATAACGATGTTTCCTACTTATTAAATATCACGTTGTATGATAATAAAAAGACTAGAGTTTTCGTAGGTCTCTACATATGTTTCCGAGGATGTCAGACTATCTTATGTCGATCAATATGTGCTTTATTTATACATTTCTGTTATCTTTTAGATAAGTTCCCTATTACACGACTTTGTATTACAGAATTTAGGACATAAGTTTTTCTGAAAAATTAGTCTTGACTAGAATTTGGGGAAATTCATTCCTGATGGCATTAGTATTTCAAACGATAATTATCCTATTCTGCATAGGATACTACTTCTTTGACCAACAAAAAAAAACTTGCCCTTTTATGATGTAAGTACCAAACTTCATAAAAAGTATCATTCATCCATTCAACATAAGTTCAAATATAACGGAACTTATCCTATCAATACAGGTCGTAATATAAGCATAATTGAACCTTTTGTACTTGAATCTAGCAATGGTAGTATTACTGTTGATGGAATTAATCAACTAGGTGTTGTTATTTTCAATTCACGGAGATTCAAAGAAAAATACGTGAAAACTACTACGGAAAGCAGTGATTTATCTATAGTTCGAATAGAAGCATACCATCTGACCAAAGACGGAACAAGTGGTTTTTATCAAAATGAAGAATTTGGTCGGTTAGGAATGAAATATCATCTATGGATTGATGAACGTATAGAGATGGATGACGATGAAAATTTTGACAAAGCTGAACTACCTGAACTATTCACGTCCAATAGTACTATTAGCCGTTTAAGTCATACTCTTCTTCGCCAGAATAAGAAAATAGAACCTACTGAACATAATGGAACGCATACTAGAATTATTCCATATATATTTGATTGCTCTACTGACGACGTTGACATTAAGTGTATGTTCTTTACTCGCAATAATAAATATGATATACAATCGATGCTTAAAATTGCAAGATTGGGAGAATATTTTGAGAATCACATTATCACAATTAATTAATGATGGTTATGTTGGTGGTAAGGTTACAGTTTTACCCAGTGATAAATCATTTGAAATTCTGCTTAAGCTAGGTTTAGCCTTGGAACCAAAGGTTTTAGAAGAGGAATACATAAATTCGAAAACAATGAAACTACGGGAGACTATTCTAAACGAAATTTAGTCGGTTTTGTCTGTCGTATATCTTTTATCACACAATTATGTATGAGGGACATTATTGTCCTCACAGCTTTTGCTCCTCTCAATATAGTACATAATAGAATACGACCAATACCTTAAATAAAAGCATCTGAATATTTCATATTTACCTATACAGTAACCAATATCAATAGAATTTCCATATTGAATCACGTGCTTATCTTCAATTCTTATACCAGTAAGCTATATATAAGACGATTTACTGGCTATCGTAGGGGAAAGATGGGAATTTTGTTGTATTTGGAAATGTATACGAAGAAGTACAAAGTATAATGGTACAACATATATAAAATGGGACTATAGTGGTAAATACGTCAAAATCAAATCACTCTGAATCTTCCATCAATTCGTAGATTTATACATATTTCATCAGCCTGGAGTATACTAAATCAGAACGACGATAATTGCAAAAGCATATTGTCTCGTTACAGCAAGTTGTGTTAATTCATTCCGTGTTGGACAAACTTATACTTCCTGCATTCTTTGCAGGAACAAATGAATATATGGCGTACCACAAGAATCTAAATCATATTCGTGCTTGTCCGTTTTGTTGCAAATGGATCAAATGATTGAATAGGCATATGTATATGTATATAAAGCTGTTTATTAAAAGTATGTATTAAGAAGTGTAATACAAATTAAGGTCTGTGCATCGTATTGAATTAGGATGTCACTTTGAAAAACTCATATTCACAGTAGTGTGGATTTAAACCAGGAATATTGATCTAAGCAGAAAGGAAAAAATACAAGAAAAATAACAGGATAAAGGATAAAAAATAAATTCCATTTGAATATTCGTCTAAACCATAAAGTTTAAGATTCTAAAGAGAAGTAAATTAATGGCAGCATAATTTAGACCAAAATCCTTTAGTCTCTTCATTATCATCAACCATTTGTTGCTGGTCGTATTGGTTTTGTCTGTTTGCTGCAGTGTTCTCGTAATTCTTAGATTGAGGTGTCTTAAGTGCAGATTCGTCCATAGCATTTGCATTCATGCCAGTTTGTGACTCTTGCTTAATTGGTGGTAATGGTCTGTTAACCAAATGTTGTAACTTTTGTTGATGTAATTGAGCTGTAGTCATTTGAGTCGAAGGAGGTTGCACTTGTTGTGATGCTGGCGCTTGTGGGTGATGAGAAGCGTGATGTTGTCTACTTCTTCTTTGATCACGATGACGTCTGTCTCTTTCGTTCGGTGGGTTTGGATGTCCGTAACCATGTAAGTTTGGCTTCTTATTAATGCTAGAATCCCATCCCTTGCCGTTGTTAAGATGCAACCAATCAAAGTCTTCATCGCATGCTTGTCCTAAGTCGTCTAATATGGATAAGAATAGCATTCTGTATTCTTCATATGCTGGCTCTGCATCGAACGCTAAACTACGTACCGAGTCCAAGTATTCAGCAAATTGTCTTGGTAAGCCGTCACACAACTGGAGTGCGGGAGTAGTACGCTTTTTGTCACCAATTTTCTCGTATTTTTGCTTGTTAGTTGGTGCCTTTAACCCTTGCCATGGCAATTGGCCTCTCAAGAAATAGAAGAATACATGGCCCAACGCTTCTAAGTCATCTCTTCTCAGTTGTTCTCTCCCAAGATGAGTGTTGATAGACATGTAACGAGCGGTACCACTTAACGATTTCTTTTCCCTATAAGGAATATGCTGTTTTGTTCTAGGATCTCTATATTGCTTGGCCATACCAAAATCGACCAAATGGACATGGTTCTCGTCAACCAAACCCTGGCGTCCAATCAAAAAGTTATCTGGCTTGATGTCTCTGTAGATAAGATCATGGCGATGGACCTCTTCAATTAAACTCAACATCTGGATCGCAATCTGGGCCACGGTCTTGACCGAAAACCTCCTGCCGCACCAGTCAAACAAGTCCTCCAATGAGGGTCCTAACAAGTCAATAACTAAAATATTATGCAAACCTTCTTGACCAAAGTAATAAGCACTCGGAATACCTTCGCTCCCTTGCAAGTGCTTGTAAGTCCGATACTCGTCTCTCAACTGAGGTGCCTCCGTCTTCCTAGGCTCAAACTTGATGGCTACCGCAACCCCGTTTATTATATTCGTACCTTCAAATATAACTCCGAACGACCCTTCCCCGATCTTCTTTCCTATCTTGTAGTGTAACCCAACCACCGAGTTGTTATTCGAATTCGAGCTCGATGGGTTATGTGATGCGGCAGCAGCCGCTAACGCCGCTGGATTCGACAATTGTGCACGGTTAGACATATTCTATGATCCCCAACACAATTTTTTGATCCGTTATACGCAATTCTCAACGATCTTGAAAAATGCCAATTTCAGTCCTCCTCGAGCCAATATCTCTATTATAATAGTTGATTAACGTCTGAACCTATTGCAAATGCTATATGATTCTCTATAATACAATCTAAAATAATCGTTTCTGTATTCCTTGATGGATTCAATTCGAATCAACAACTTATGCAATGAAAACAAAGGGTATGACAAGAAAACGAATAATTTATCCTAACAAAAAAAAAATTATCAATTATGTATCCTTTATCTCTTGAACTGATCTTGCCAAGAAACTTTAATACACCTTATTATATTGCTATATAATTCGATTGTGTAGATCAAAGGAATAGAATATTGTTTTTTGCTGTCCATAAACCTCCAAAACACAAATGAAAGACATTTTTTCGCTGACCTTACACAAAACCCGAAAACAGAAATGTTCCTTTCTTTTAGGAAAAAATTTTCTACACTAAGGCCATTGGTTGTGTGGGTCCTTGATTTGTTGTGTTTTGGGTTGCGGTTGGTATTTGGAAGCGTATTCACTTTGATGCAGACTAGGTAGTTTTTTAGTAGTTGTAGATTTTCGGTGTATTTGCAAAGAAGGAATCAAGCAATGTAGTGGTGCGCCCGGAGTAAATCGCCAATGGATGCAAAATATACCCATATCCTGAAATTAGTGGCAGGGGTATAGCAAGGCGATTAATGGTATCAGGTCCGTGAATGTTCGTATGGGATGCATTAGTATCTACAATGGAACGTCTAGATTAGAGATCTAGAGGCAGGGAATGTTTCGGAGTCGAATGGAAAAGCCCAGAAAATACGAATTTTTGCACAATTGTATAGATATATAAAAAATAAACCAAAATTAGTAGAAGTGTACATGGAAGAGTGGTACAGATTGCAATTGAATTACAATTGGTATATTACGAACTGAAGATATACCGCGAGGAAAATGGCGATATGAAGTTAAGAAATAGATCTAGAAACCCGCATATTGGGTTCCGGAATAATTCTATATACTACCTCTGACTAAATAGATGACATCGGCGTTTTTGAATGCTTTAGAGCATCTATCGGCGGTTTCGACCATCGCTGGCAGGTCGTCGTCGTCGACTTTGCAAATGCAGAGTCTCTCATTCGACTCACGCGTACGGTTATTGGTGTTGACAATACTCAAATTATCGGCTATCGAGTCCAAGGCCCTGCCCACAGACCACTGTTTCGAAACCCAGATCGCTTTTTTCTCCTTCTCGACGTTGATATTGGAAAATATGTCCTCTTCTGCATTTTCTGACACCTGTTTGGGGTTGATGTATAGACACCAGAGGTAGATCTTGTCGGTGTCACCTACTTTGGTGTCTCCCTTGGCTTCCCGACGGAGTATCGCCATCTCAGCGACTTTACTACGAGTCTTCGGCACGCTCTTCTTCTTGAATAGCCCCATCACCTTATCATCGCTCTTTTTCTTGTTCTTTTGTAGCCTCAAGAATTTGGCAAATTTGGCAAGCACCGTTCCTTGGGCCCCGTTACGACCAAGAATATTGGTTGCCTTGGGCGTGGCATTACTTATCGAGTTCTCTAGTTTTAATTTATCCTTTTCTCTATCTGGAAATAAAGATGCAGCTGTTGCACCGTATTGTTGATTGGCTCTGGTCTTTTCTTGTGGTTTTGCTGGACATTGATGAGACTCCAAGGTTCGATGCTTCGAGCAGTATGTAAATTTGCAATGTTCACAATGAAATGGGAGAAAATCAACTTGTTGACATTTATGGCATTGTTTACCTATGTTCATTATTCCTTGATCAGGATGAGTTTTTGTCTCATTGACAAATAGATTTTTATTAACACCTGCCTGTGACATTGTCTATAGACATATATTATACACTAGTCGGCTAGCTACCAGCGAGATGTCCTATTTTATACCTCTTAAACCCAGTGGCGGTGGCAAGACTATTTTGGTGCTTTGGATGGAGTAAAGAAATCGGATTTCTCAGCTGCACAAAAATTCGATATGAAAATTTGATGATGAAGGTGATACATTAACTAACCAGACCAAATAATGTTATTTGATTTGAACGTGGCGTGGCCTAGTAATAATTACGCTACCACTCCGACTTCCCAACAAATCACAACTCTCCTTAATACAATTACTACCTTAGGTACCTTAGGTTACACGCACATCGCTATAAATTTTACATTGAGTGAAAATGTTAGGTTCCCTAGTAATCAACAAGACATAAACCCAGTCCAAATAAAAATGATAAAAGATCACTTTAAGGACAATTTTCCAAGACTTAAATTGTTCACAAGGTTAACGTTAGTGATCAACGACCCATCGCAATGTCAAGGGCTCTCGAAAGTGCAGAATTCGTTCGACTTGATAGCAGTGCAACCAACAAGTGAAAAGGGCTTACAGTTAGCAACGACAAATCTCGATATTGATTTAATCTCCTTTAATATGGCTAGCAAATTGCCATTTTTTTTGAAGCATAAGACAATTGGAAGTGCGTTGGAAAAAGGTATAAGGTTTGAAATCTGCTATTCGCCAATGATCTCGGGACCAGCAGGATATTCGATTCAAACGGCAAATGACAATATGAGTTTGTCCAAAACGGCCTTATTGGTTAGAAAGTACTTTTTCAGCAATGTTTTGCAATTAATTAGAGCATCAAGGTCGAAGGGTTTGATCGTTTCCAGTGGTGCGACACAACCGTTGCAGGTACGTAATCTGTCCGATATATTGATCTTATTAAAGACTGTCGGTTTGGATAATAGTAGGGCTAAAAGCTGTGTTACTGATAATCCTGAAAAAGTTTTGGTCAATGGAAGATTGAAGATCAAGTCGTATAAGCAAACTATAGTGGTCGGAAACGATAATGACAAGAGTGATATTTTGTATAATAACGATAAGGAAGACAGTGTTAAGAAAACAGATAGTGCAGGATACAAGAAGAAATTGAGCGATAGCTCTGGTGGCAGCTTGCTAAAGAAACAAAGGGTCAAATAGGCGGTTTATGGACCCTCGTAGGTACTACTTATTACCTAAATTTGTACATTATGATATAGATCGCAACATAATAATAAATAAATATATTAAGAAAATATGTAATTAATCGGCTTGCTAATTAAATATCGATGACTTGATCAAGGTGATCTTTTTATTTGGTGGTTGCGTATTCGAATCGTTATTTGGGGCCAGCCCTTTCATTTGTGCCCTAGGTACCCTCATTGGTCTCTTATTTCTATTCCCAGTAAGGAAAATGGACGGCTCTGCCTTTCGCTTTCTTATTGCTTCTGAAACTGCTCGTGGCAGAGGCGATGACGACGAAACAGATGTGGGAGGACTGTGAGGTTCCGACAATGATGCATTATGTATTGGTAGGGATGTAGGCTTGGGGCTAGATGAGTAAGAGCTCGCTTCCAGTACTAATTTGGGCACTGGCTCAATTGGCCTGGGCGCATTAGTGCTATGCTGAATGGGTTGTCCATTAAATATGGTTGGAGGACGGCCCAACCGTTGTGACGTATCTGCCCGATTATGGTTGAATCTTGGAGCATACCTTGGAGCAGCTGGATGCGCAGCTGGATGTGCTGATGGCTGTGCTAATTGATGCCTCTGTGGAAACCTTGGTTGTTGTCTTGGCTGGTGGAGAGAATGCGATATAGGAGGACCAGGCTGAACACTTGGCGCGTCCTTGTGATTGAATGCTTCGTATGGGTCATATTTCTTCACTTTCTGCGCGTAGTTGGGAAACATCAAGGATCTATTACGGATCTCCTTTCTGGCTTTATTGAGAATCGAGTTCTTGGGCCCGTACGAGGCCTCTGACCGACTGTATCCCGACCCACCGTCAAACCTTCGTCGACGTACCGTAGGGTCTCGCAACAACTCGGGCACCGACACAATCGAATTCGCCGACTTCTCTTTTTTCAACCTCTGGGTGATTTTTCGTAACCGTTCCGCTGAGTCTTGTCTGAACGACTCGCGCTCATCGCTGTATTTGAAGTAAAGACTCTTCATGGGCATGTCGCAAAACATAAGCGCCCGTCCCGCTGGCACCACCATATTCGCCCTCTTACTCTTAACCTTACTCGCCCTTATGCTGTTCGCCAAAATTGGCCTATCTGGAAACTCTTTGCTCACTAAATTGGTCCACAACTCATCGGAATCGGGCGTGATCTGCGGACTCAACTCTTCAATTTGTCCTAACTGTTTCGCATTCATCCTCCTTAGCACTGGTACCAAGAGATGGAACGGTGTGGCCCCCACATCTTCTAATTTGGCCACATGCTGGATACATTTGTTGGTAGCTATCTCAACTAACGATAAGACTTTTTTTCTATTTCTGGGATTATTATAACTTTGATCCACTGATGCCATTCTGTTTTTTTATATTCTGTTCATGCGTACTTTCCTTTACTATCACATGTGTTAAAATAGACACTATTAACAATAACTGTGGTATTTCTGTAACAATATTGTTTGTAGATATTGCCATTCTTTTTGCTACTGCTCTATTGAGCCTAAAGATCAAAATTGACACAAAGCCGTCTTACTGTTCGGCCGGCCGATAAAAAGTTTTATAAGCAGATAACCGAAACACGTAAAAGCGATTTAATTTGTTTTTCAGGTCTAGGTACGAGTAGTAATAACGATGTTTTCAAAGTTAAGAGGTAAAGATTCTAAAACCGAGACTAAGAAGGAACAGAAAGTATTGGGAGAAAAGTTATACCTTCCATTAACTAAGGCTTCTTCTAAATGTACGATTCCTAAAGCGGCCGAGCTTAACGGTGAAGAACAAGAAAAATACGATGAAGTTTTGAAATATTTCCAGCAGGAAGACTTCAAGGTCGCTGTGAGTGAAGCTAACCATAAGGACAAGGATAGTTCCAAATACAAGGAATTGAGTGTGTCGGAAAAAGCGTGGTTGACAAGAGAATGCTTTCTTCGGTATTTGCGAGCCACCAAATGGCACTATCAAGATGCTATTAGCAGGATTGAGCTCACTCTTGCGTGGAGACGTGAGTTTGGTATTTCTGGGTGCTACGACTCGGAAAACGAGGTTAATGGGAAATTGTGCTCTCCAGAAAACGAAACGGGAAAGGAAGTTATCTTGGGATATGATAACGATACTAGACCGTGTTTATATTTAAAGCCGGGCCGTCAAAATACAAAGACATCTTTGAGACAGGTCCAACACATGGTATACATGTTAGAAAGAGTTATAGATTACATGCCGTCGGGCCAGGATTCGTTGGCGTTGTTGATAGACTTCAAGGCCTCGCCTATTGGTACTGAAGGAGGAAAGATTCCACCGGTGGGTACGGGGAGACAGGTGTTGCATATTTTACAAACACATTATCCAGAGAGATTGGGTAAGGCATTATTGACCAATATTCCGTGGTTGGGATGGACGTTCTTGAAGATTATACATCCATTTATCGATCCATTAACGAGAGAAAAGTTGGTTTTCGATCAGCCATTTCCAGATTACGTTCCAATAGAACAATTAGATAAGGATTTTGGGGGTGATCTTAATTTCGAATACGACCACGAGAAATACTGGCCTGAAATGATCAAAATCGCTGAAAGTAATAAGCAAAAGTACATGAAGAGATTCGAAAATTTTGGTTCAAAGATCGGTTTATCAGAATATGATTTAAGAGGCGAAGGCGAAGAATTGGTTTATCCAGTTGCATAATCTTGTTCGATATATTTATAGAGTGCAGCTTTACACTTTGAAGTTTGTTTTCTTGTTCAAAGGTTTATAATAATAATAATATTGTACGAACTATTTAACTTGTAAAAGGTTTGGCACACTTTCGTTTCTCTATTACACCTGTTTCTGGACAGATCATAGTTTGCCAATCAACGGCATACATAAGCCCACCAGCACCCCCTTCGCTCCTAGCGAAAACCACTCCAAGGTCATTTTTAGCAGTACTCAAATAGTAGTTTGATCCATCTCCTAAAGATATAATCACAGCCCTCACTATATCACCTGGCTTGAAGCATTCTATGATTTTGACTCTATCTCTATCGGTCAGTCTCACATCTTGGGTTCTAATTATACCCTTGAAAGTTTCACCCAAGTCTGAAGCCACCGCATTTATCAGCGATGCCTGCGAAGCTATAGTTGTATGCGAGCTTAAACTTTGCGAACCACCCCCAGCCGGGATTGAACTATGGGCGTTCTCGCCGTTGGCTCCCAATCCGGAATCGTTTAATACATTTCCATGTCCTTCAACTGTTAAAATCTCGCAAAACGCTTGTCTCGGGTTCAACCTAGTGATACGTGCTAGCACAACATCTCCTTCTTGTGGAAGATTGATAGATATATTCCCAATCTCTGCTATCGCTTCTTCTCCTACTTCTTCCTGATATTGCATGTAAGTATTCGATTTTGGAATTACACTCACCACAAAATTCTTGATTTTAATGTCACTGTCTTTGTCTTTAGAGTCAGCTTCGTCCTTTTCGTCTTCCTTATCAATAACTACTATTTCTCTGATTATTATCTTACCTATTATAGTGGCAACAATAACTGGAATTGATTTGACTTGATCTGCTTCAACATCTATTGACGATATAGTTGTACCTTTACCTGGGACATATTTTTCGACCACTTTTTCAGCAGCAACTTTATGTGTTGGTATTATGTATTGCCCTGGAATAGCAAACTTCTGTTCGTGAGGCATAATGCTTTAAAATGCTGATGAATTCTTGAAGAGTTCACCTCATCGACTAAACTTCTTCCACTAGAAAAATTGATGCAACTCATTTTGTGGTTTTGTGTCAACTTCATTTAGCAAAGATGAAAAGTCCATTCCAGTACCATAATGATGGACTGTTTACTAGTTAAACATCGATAATTAGTCTAAGAAATGTCTGAGTACCCAGAATATATTAACGGTGAACCACCGGTTATAACTTTAGAAGAATATGACGTTGCTCCATGGAGCAAGACTACTTGTGTTGATTCAAGACCTGATGGATATGTTATCGTAATCATGGAAAAGCCAGAGGTAGTTGTTGCTAGAATCGATAAAAGCGGCGATGAAACTTTAGATAAGATCTTCAGAAGTGCTAAACAAACTCACGCAGAGCAAAGGGCTAAATAGAATCTAGGAGAATCATAAAATATTATATTATTAGTATTTACTTTAGTGTTCAATTCACAATTCACGTATATATGCAACCAATACTACTACCATAAAGTGGTAAATGTAGACTGTTATATGGTCTAATTAATGCCAAACGTTATTAGAAGAAATGTGTGTGACAACGGGAATGTTCATGGATTGACATTTCGCTCTTGAAATCATTCAACTCATCCTTGATTTGTTGAGCCAATGCTGGAGTCAATTGATTACAAGTAGCATTGTCTGGATGCCTGTCGTATTCATCGCAGTTGTAGGTATCATACAAGATAATTCTCGATGAGAATCTAACCCCATCTTTAATTGCGGCAGCTCTTGCGCTACTTTGTATAGTAGGCGATTTCTTAAATTTGCGAGAAAACATTGAACTAAACGATTTAGGACTCGAACTGTTACTCGAGATCAGTGGTATCTTGTTATGGGTGAATATTGGTAACGGATGAGGAGGGGCCAATGGAGAGAAGTTATTCTCTTGGCCGAATTTCGACGATACTTGTTGGTGTGCAACCACTGGGTTACTGTATTCATTTTCCTCATCATCAACTCTGTCGAAGGAATCATCGTCCTCTTCATCACTTGATCCAAACCCACCACCTACTTCGGAAGTTGGTGCTTCATGTGAATTTTCCTCTTCATCCTCCTCATCTCCAAAAGACATGTTGAATGATTGGTGAGAATCAGAACTTCTTAAATCATGCATTGCTAACTTCCCACCAAAAGATGGTCCTTTAAGTCCCCTGAATGACATCGATATCGGTCTATTATTCATTATGTTTTTGCCGTTCTCATTTATCATGGGCGAGTTATGGTATGAGGCTGCCAAGATAGGGGATTTTTCAATTAAATTAGCTGGTTCGGCCTCGTTGATTGATTCTGGGGATTCTGGAATTTGAGTAGAATTAATAATTTCCAAATTAGGAGTTAAAGGACCTTGAACAGGTTCATTAGAATCAATTTTTTCAACGGGAATTTTTGCTTGTTCTTCATCAGTTGGGGATAAGAGTATATGCTGTTTCGGATCATCGTCTTGGCTGGGGGGTGGTGTGTTTAAAATTATTGGTGGAGCCTCAGAAGGTCTTACATATCCTACTGGAGGTAAAATCTCTTGGATGGAACTACTGTCAAATTCCTTGTCTGATGAGCCATTAAGTCTATTATCAGCATATCCATTCACTAATGGCTGTTGATTCCTTTGTTGAAACAGATCGAATTTTTCCGAAAGTAAAGAAGGAGACGAAGACATGATTACTGGTGATTTTTCGACTACTTCCTTTGGAGAAATAGAAAAATCCAAATTATCAAGGTCGATATAATCTGTAAACTCGATAAGATCGTCATAATTTTCCATAGATTCATCATTGAGCATCTGGGCGTTAATTGAATTCATGTTTTCGACATTTAAGTTTTTCTTTGAGTTAGAATTCTTGAGGATACTATTCGATCTGCTCATATTAGTGGAATCTAAAGTTGGGGAATTTGTTATAGTGCCGTCATAATGAATAATGTTCTCATCACTCCCATCGTAATTAACAAATGAGTTTCTTTTATTGGATTTTATTGATCTCATAGATCTTGATCTTTCTAAAGAAACAATACTCTCTACTTCCTGTGCACTCAATGATTTTGGAAAAAGGGTTTCGCCTAGTAATTGGTCATTTACATCTGGTTTCGCCTTCAGCTTCTCTTCCTTACTAAGGCTTGTTAATTTATCATGAGGGGTTTCTAATTTAGGAGTATTCGTTGAAGGCTTGTAATCAACCTTAAATGGTGATCCAAACAAGCTATCATTATTCAACAAAGTATCACCCTCTGGTATAAACAATTCTTCATTAGTGGCATCAACCTCCTTAGACTTTAATGTTTGAGACTTACGGTCATTAATTATATCATTATTGTTATCATAATTGTTATCATAACTGCTATCATAATTGGTTTCAGTAATTGTTGGTGTTGGATAATTTGTATTTGAATTGTAATCATCATCATTAACTTCTCTGATAAAGTTCACATTTGGAATTGAGTTGGATGGATTTTTATTCAAGAAATTAGTAGTTGGGATAACTTCTTCTTCTTCTTCTTCTTCCTCTTCCTCGTCATTTTGATTAGGTTTTGCCTTCTTCGATACTTGTTCTTGGTTTTCTGATTTGATCGGCTTTGATGAATTTTCAGACGTTTTATCTTTCTTGAAAACGCTTAAAAGCGAGGCGCTTGAAGACATTGAAGGTTTATGAGAAGGTTTTTCTTGTGGTGGTTGAGGTAATGAGGACTGCTTATCATAAGAGCCTGATACCATCTTTTCACTGTTTTTATTCTTGTTTGTCGTTGGCATTTTCTTCACTCCTTCTATCGTATCTGGTTCATTGTTGAAGCTTGCGATATTTGGAGTTGAATATGACTTTGAACTTAACTTTCTTGGCTTTGACACTAAGTCATCATCTTGATTTTTGGTAGTCTTGGATCTGGATTTAAATAAGTTCTTGAAGCTAAATTTCTTTGCTGTTGGAGGTTTCTCGGCACCTTTAGAAACGGCTGATAAATCACTAAATGTGCTACTTCTCTTGTGAGTTCCTGGTAATGGGGGTTGTTCTTTGTTCTTTGTAAATGACAAGGAAAACGTCGAATTAGATCTAGTATGGGGAGATCTCTTCAACGGTTCGGGATTAGCGGTAGTAGTATTAATCGAAGAATATGTTTCTTGTTTTACAGCTGGCTTCTTCACCACTTTGCCTGTGTCAGGAAGCAATAAACTAGAAACCGGATTTGTAGTTTGTTGTTCATGTTGCTTTCTTTCTTCAAGTTCAAACAATTCCTTTTGTTTCCTTTGCTCTTGGGCATCCCTCTGTTTCTTTAACTCTTGAACCTCCGCCTGCTTTTGTTGCAACTCTCTTTGAATTCTTTGTTCTTCAAGCAAATCCTTTTGCTTCTGCTTGAGCTTTTGCTGTTGTTGCTCGTACTGACTTTTGAGTACTCCTTCGTTTCCTACTAATGTATCATCCTGTTCAATGTCTTTATTATCTAAGGTTCCATTTGATACGTCTGTCGATTGTCCGTCAAAGTCTTCTACGGACGATTCATGTACAACTCTAATTGGATGTATTGAATTCTTGTTAGATCCATTGACCTGCGTGAATGTTTGAAATTGTGCCGGATTCACGAGAACCGGTGTATCATCGTTAGTGTTATACCCATCGTCAATCGTACTCATGGACTTTTGGCTTTTATGAAGTGATTCGTTAGCATTCATATTAATAGTATCACTAAACGAATTTCCAGAATGAGCCGTTTCGAAAGTTTGCACCGAGTACGTCGACCCTCGATTTGGATCTTCGGTAGTATAGTTTACCGACAACCCCGAACTAGGGGGAAATTGTCCTTGGTCTTCATCTTCCTCTACAATTCTTTCTGAAGTCATGGCCGGCGCCGAATTATTCTTTTCCGAAAGAATGCTTTCCAAAGCTTTCATCGATGGTGACACCTTCATAATACTGGTTCTCTGTTGGTTTACACTCGCCGGGTCGTTCGTCAATCCAGCATGAATCGATGTATTCGACATTGAATTTGGTATCTGTACCGACTTTCTCAAGTTGGTGATATGGTTCCGGGAATTTGATGGTCCCACATAAAATTGGTTACTCAACAAAAAGTCCTCAAAGTTATCCTGATTGGAAATCCCTGGCCCACTCATGTTTGGTTATCGTTGACTTGTATGTATGTTCTATTAATTTAACTTCTCTTTTTGGTCGTCTCGTCGGTCTACGTAGTCTATTCTTCTGTTCGTAGTGGCTGTCTGTACGGATAAAATCTTAGCACCAAGCTGAAATCTATCAAAACCTTCCAAAAAAATACCAGAGTGTCGTTATCTGGTTTATTCTATTAGTTGTAATTAAAGTCACCGGTTTCGAGATGTCTTCTTCCTCGTGTATGATGTACTTTCGTGGTTTTCTATAAAACCTTCTCTAGTTTAATCGAATTAATTCTGTGGAGCAATTGATATAGCCCAATCTCGTGAAATTTTTTATAACGTGGACCGTACCAAAAAATATTTCAATACTACCACAACTTTTAAAAAGGTTGATATTTTATCAATTGTAGATGTAAAAGAAGCTTGTATTAATATCAAAACAGTACTAGTGAATGATTTGCTGAACGTCTAATATTAGAATGTATAAACTTGTCAGACAACCCTTCGAATAATATATACGTTTTCAGGCAAAATGTAGCTATGTTAATTAAGCGCGTACAGCCTTAGACGCGTCCTTCGATCGTCGCATGTTTACGTAATGAAAGGGATAAATCTAAGATCGCACCCCTACACCACGTTTATTTATGGGTGTACCAATTGCTCAATGCTAATAAAGGAAGAAGCTTCAGATAGAAAGGATAAGTTGCAATTGCTTGACATGAGCATTGTGAAATGGAGTTCTTGATGGTGAAAAGAGATTTCATGCCGAATAAGATGGTATTTTTTTTGGGTTGCAACTTCAGAATTTGATGGCTTTACGACGTCAACAGTCACTGGAAAAGCTACCAGCGATCAACGTGTTGATGAACAACACTATGGACTTGTATGAAAGGGTAAACTTCCACGATTAATTGCCAAGTGCATCTATCATATTCGCGTTGCAAGAACACGTCTAACATGGTAGGGTGCACACGACCCATTAGAGTGGTTTATGTTAAACGAGTGTATGTAATATATAAATTTGCTCAAAATGCTGCACATGGTCGTACCCGCGCTATTCAGACTCGCAACTAGTTTGTGAAAAATATCCTACTCGCGGTCGCAAAGTGGTAGTCTTATAGAGCTTCTCAACCAGAATCGCTCATATGCTGTCGTCAAAGCACATACTTGAGACTAGCCTCACTTGTTACTCGAATAACTTGTCATCCCTCTGTCATCCCTCTGTCACCCCTCTGTCACCCCTCTGTCACCCCTCTAGATGCTTCTTAAACCGAGGGGAGGCCGCCTTAAATCCGATTATCTCCCTCATGGTCTTTGGTCAGCAGCGCTAAATCAAATGGACGTCAGACAATAGATGGAAGCTTCTACCGATATAATGAGTATGAGCCTTAGAACCGCCTCTTTGACGCACAGAAACACCTCTGCCTGCATGCGCATTAAGCATAACATGATGGCGCAATATTGATCTTGCCACGCCGACTAATGCACGCCTGTTTAGCATTCAGTCCTGTCATGACTCTGGCTATAATCACAATACCTAGATGCTTGTATCGCCCAAGGTCATCAACGAAGAACTACAGTTGATGGGTGTTTTTCCATCAAAATATTGAAGATGGGCCACATTATCCATGCTTAAAAAAAAAAAAAATTACCCGCTAATCACAACAGTATTTCCCCACTTTATCACATGGGATAGGCTAGTGCACATTAGTACCGAGGTTCAGAACACAACACATTACGAAAATTATCGCATATTGATAGCTAACATCGAAATTTCTTTATCCATTATTCATTTATTGTCCAGAAATGGTCCATCCATCCATCCATCTGTGCTCTACCGTCATGGTACGAGCGGTGTACCAGCAAAGTATGGGCATTCATTGCCGCTTAGAAATAGAAAAATCTGGACAGCTGCATCTTCCTACATGCCGCTACAATTATAAAAAAATCAACCTGCTTAAGCGACACTACCAAATCCGCACAATGCATGCTAAGAGTATGTACATCCAAATAAGGCGTATGCGTGTGGCCTTCTAATCAATTGCTCGAAACTTGATTTCATTAGAGAATGGTGCTAACGGTAATCCAACAGTAACAAAATGCATGAAGCAAAAACAAGTAGTATAATTTAAATGTATTAATTCTATTACTTTTAAGTAACATATGCAAGAAGGTTTAGGAGAAATCTATAGAAGAATCAGAACCAGGTATTTCGGTGTAGTACGTTTGTAATGCTCTTTTTAAAGCAGGGATCAATTTATCCCATCTGAGGATTCTCACCTCCTTGTCGAAACCCCTAGGTTTCCTGATTTCATATGACATAATTCTTTTAGCCAATTCGAATCTATAGTCTTGATTCGTGAGATGGGCGTCTTGACGAGGGTAGTTTGGAGATCCCGAAGGATGTGCTGAAGAGTTGTCTTGCATCCGGGAAGAAATGGGTTTTCTGGACCAGAAAGGAACCAAATTGGATCTTATTCTGCCTCTTTCTTTCCTTCTATCAGCTGGATTCATCGACTGGGTACCAATAAGTAATTCGACTATTTCGATCACTTCTACCGATGTGATATAGTACTGGTTATACTTACCATCACGTACGCCGTTGATCGGAATAGCCAGATCATCGTCGCTGGCACTTTGATCATCCGCTTCGTATAAAACGGTGGTACATTCCAAACACGACACTTCGATGACGTCGGTATCTGGTGGTGCCGGTAAAGTTATAGGATTTTCGTTAGCTCCTCCTACGATAGAAAAATTGGCCAGCAATTTGTGCCCATTCTGGACCCGTTCAATACGTATAATTCTTCGGCGGTCCTCCTTTTCAGATGCATTCCAAGCAGGATAGCATATCTCTTCGACTGAGGCGCCATTGACATGTAACTCTATTGGCAAGTATAGAGCGTTGGAATCCACGAGGTACTTCGGAGGTCTAGTCGAACATCCTCCAGCTGATACACCTCTGATGATCCTGTAGCGCTTCTTTGTATCGGTTTTTTCGGTTTTAACCTTCAAGTTAGGCTTTTGTTTCTGCAATGGTGATTGACGATGCGATATAGGAGACGGGTATCCTGGAGTCATAGACCCTCCCGCCGCCATAGACCCACCGGGGGCGGAATAGCTTTCTGGTCCCAAAGCCGATGCTGATGTATATGTATCCAAGGCGTTAACAGAGTTCATCGAATTCAACGACGATGTCGAGTTAAACGGAAGTAACAGATTTTGAGTGTACTGGTTCGGCATCGGCAACGCCTCCAGGTTATAGTTGTAGCCCGAAAACTCAATCGCTGGATCCATGTAAGTCCCATTAACTTCGGTTCCCATAAGATCCATGGTGCCATGTGTCATTCTATTGTCGCCACGGTATATATTTCCACCGTATCCGCCGTTAGTTGGGTACGACAAATACAGTCCCAGTTGAGCATGGGTGCTTGCTCCCACACCAGTCACCCATGGGTTGTTGTAAGTATTGCCACAGTTCGGGTGCCCTGTCAACATTGTTCCGCTATTACTTCCTACTCCCATTACACTGTCTTCAAAGAAATCGTCGGGTTCTTCATAGCTCGTACCGGGATCGTCATATTGAGTGTATTCGGGTTCAACCATCTTCCCATAAATCATAAATTCCATTCAATAAATCTGAATCGAAAATTTTGTTACGTGCAATTTTTAATTCGCAAGCGAGACTTCTCCAACTTATATATAAGAGCTGCAAACATATTTTTATACTTTGGTGACAATCATGTACATCAACAATCATGTACCATATGATTCTGTCGTATGCCAAATGCGGAATCTCCTTAAGAATAAACTTTAACCTTTAAAAATGGTCTAGTGTACGCATATAGAAGCCCGTCTTATGCAGGTTGGAAAATGTTCGCTGTTACTATACGTATAGGTTAGTGCGCAGTGATGGGCTATATTTTGTAATTCTTCGTTGTCCGCTCCTCCACGCGAGAAGGATGCTACATTACAGCCTATCACTGAGGGTATAGTCATGACATAAATAATGCGTAACAATAGAAAAAGTCTCACATGTATACTCGCTTGGCAACTGTAATAGCGTCTATGCCCACAATACATATAAAATATTGCGGCCGAAGAAATGAACAATAAAACGAATGACTTAGGAGGCCGATCAGATTACTGACCAAATAGCTAGTAGCTAGTGGGCGTGTTGAGCGATGCCCGCCTGTGGCAAGGCTTTCAGAAGGATTGGTTCGGTGCGTCATCGGAGATAAGACGGAAGAAGGGATGAACAAGGTGGAACATTATAGAGCGAAGCAGATCGAAGAGAGAAGAAGCGAAAACGACGCAAAAAGTACGATACGAGTTGAAGCGTCGATATGGTCACGACGAGAGAAAATAATTTGCATCAAGAGTGTTGCTAACATCGACGAATAACAGAACAAAGTATGGAAACATATTGACGATTGCTGGCGTCCATTATAATGGAATTCAAAATCTGCACTAATTCAATTGCCGTCTTTTTTGCACCACACAGAAAACCAGTCGTCCTCGCTATTCGATTGTTGAATGCCGTTATTGACTCGGTTTCTCAAGCATGTTTATTTGCTGTGTAATTGGCCAGCAGCGGTTGCTATGCTGCGAATAGAGCGCAACGAATCAGATATTTTATTATTCATCGGGTAGCATTGATAACCGTTCGTGATTCTTGGTCGTATCTCAATTTAGAGTATCCTGAGTCGTATAGGCATCCGATCAGACATCCCGATATTCTTATCTTTTAAATTCCACTACTTTCGTCTTCATATGTATCTACAAGTTCCTTGTGTCTAGACTGTGTACCCAGCTCACACTTTAGTACATGTCAGGCCCGCACATCCGATATAACCTTCATCGAACTATGGAGAATGGTCGTGTGCAATAGTAGACTCATAAACATCCAAGCCAATACAATCAGTAGACAAGTCTACCTCAGATACACCAATAAACCCATTCACATACTACAGATAACAGCCTAAATATTCATTTCTGATCTTATTTATTATAAAGCAAAGCAATTATCATTTAGACTAACTAAATACCTATTTCTTGCTCTTGTATTGTGGGTAATATTTTTGGAATAAATAACCATCGGCCACAATCAAACCAGTTATAATGGCCCCATGAGTTGCTAAAACCACCTTGTTGTCACTGTGAATTCTATGTCTTTCTAAGTAGGTCATGTATCCTGCAACTAATCCACTGATACCAACCAATGCTTGGGTAATGACTACAGGATTCTTGAACTCTTCGGAAGCCTTGGCCACCAATTGAGTTGAGTTGTCACCAAAGTTGGCAGTAAAGTCACGCACACTCTTGGTGACGTTGCTAATTCCTGTCTTAACACTAGCTACGAATTTGTTAAGGTATGCCTCACCATTCTCATCGGCTTCCTTGGAGAAGTCCTTGACCTTCTTTGCACCACGGTCAACTGCAGCATTAGTCTTCTTCTTGAATTGGTCGAAATCATCTTCATCCAATGTTTCAACGCTTCCGTTTGGGTTACTGGTATTCTTAACCTTTGGAGGTTCCGGGACCTTTTCGGCACCTATTGGTCCTGAGGAAGCAGCAGCATCAGCATATGTAGACATCTTATGTAGTATTTGTTAAATTAATTCGTATCCTTGAAAACTATATAAAGAATCAAAGAAAAGCCCTTATAGTAATTTATATTACTGTGTAATACCAGGGGTCAATCGTGAATCTATTTTGCTGATGATGAATTAATTTTATTGCTCTATTGCTGTCCCTGTATACAATGAACTACTCTGATATATGACCCTACGAACTGGTTTTTTTCGACCCCTTCACCTCTTATTTTCGATCAATTGGCTTTCCATAACCACTTATACCCATAGCTGTTGTACGTCGTTCCCAATCATCGTTTTTTAGAGCCAATATATACCTCTTGATACCCTTTTGCGACGTTCCGGGTCTGGCCTATCGACGGCAATTAGCAATAATTCTTATCGCGAGAACGAATAACCTATGCGAGGTCCTGTGACATGGTCATTAGTTCGGTCGGTAGGATTTAAGGGCATTGACCCTATTATATAGAAGAATTCACATGAACAAATTTGATTTTGTATCGCTCGAGGTTTTGTGTAATAATTAATTACGTCCTCAAATTTTTCACGACTAATTTTTCATCGTACCATCACCACGAAGGTTCTCTTCTTTTGAATATTAATTCACATTTGTCGATCGAAAACCATAACCCCCGGCTTTCCACGTAACATTCCGACGAATAGAATAAACACAGTATACAATGTCTGCTGAAGCTGCACCACCAAAGAGAAACTTCGCTCGTTCCAACAGAGGAGGTAAACAAAGAAGAGGTAGAAGAGATGAAGAAAAGGGATGGACTCCAGTCACCAAGTTAGGTAGATTAGTGAAGGCAGGTAAGATCACCTCCTTAGAAGAAATCTACTTACACTCTTTACCAGTTAAGGAATACCAAATCATTGACCAATTATTACCAGAATTAAAGGATGAAGTCATGAAGATCAGATCCGTCCAAAAGCAAACCAGAGCCGGTCAAAGAACCAGAATGAAGGCTGTTGTTGTTATTGGTGATTCTAACGGTCACATTGGTTTAGGTATCAAGACCGCCAAGGAAGTTGCTTCTGCTATTAAGGCTGCCATCATCATTGCCAAGTTATCCATTATCCCAATCAGAAGAGGTTACTGGGGTACTAACTTAGGTGCTCCACACTCCTTACCAACCAAGGTTACCGGTAAGTGTGGTTCCGTTGCTGTCAGATTAATCCCAGCTCCAAGAGGTAAGGGTATTGTCGCTTCCCCAGCCGTCAAGAAATTGATGCAATTAGCTGGTGTTGAAGATGTCTATACTTCTTCTTCCGGTTCTACCAGAACCACTGAAAACACCTTAAAGGCTGCTTTCATTGCTATTGGTAACACCTACGCTTTCTTGACTCCAAACTTATGGAATGAAGCTCCATTAGCTCCATCTCCATTAGATGTCTACGCTGAAGAAGCTGCTGGTTCCAAGAGAAGATACTAAATTATTTAGTTCTTTGTATAGGTATTTGTAATAAAAATCTTCATAAAATAATAAATCTGTAATACCATTGGATATTGTATTCAATTGTCGCTTCAAACGAACATAGACTAAGATCTCGAATCTACAGATGGTATCAATAATATAAAATATTTAATGCAAGTCTATGACAATATATAATATACTTTCATTCAATCATGAGTATTTTCTACAAGAGGGGACCGTATCAAAAACCAGTTATGATACTGTAGTGAAGCGAATTGAATCAACAATTCACCTTTTTTCTTTATACTTTCTATCTTTTCCTTGAATATTTTTTTTTTTTTTTTNTTTTTTTTTTTTATTGTTATAATATAATATACTAATACATAAGAAGTCAAGGACTTTAATAAAAATTGAGAGTAAAAACGGGTTGCATCACTAGCTTTCTTGTGTAGCTTGTTCCATTACTTGATCCTCTGGAACGGCAAAAGATCTTTCATTCGTAGCATTCTCTGAATCTTTTGACCAGGTATTTGATGGATTAGGAAGATTTCTACCTTCTGGGTGTCTGAACATACATGTCTTGTTAGTACAATTAATACCAAATCTGCAATCTTCATCAATTGGGTGAGAAAAGAAACAATCGATTCTAACACAGTTAGCTCCTTCACGACACACAACTGGCGTAGTAGCATGTCTTCTTGGGCACTTTAAATTGGTACAAGATGGACCGAATTTACACTGTTCCAAGGTTAACTCAGGTTGAGCCGGTTTAGGTTTTGGCTTCATTTCTGCTTGTGGAGCCTGATAATTTGGAGATGGGTGGGCCTTTGTACAATTAACATCTTGACATGTTTTTCCATCTGGACACCATTGTAAAACTAAAACCTTAGCTTCTTTGTTTGCCGGAGTTGGATGACCGAATGGACAAATATCTTTCGAACATAGCATACCAAATTTACAAATACCAATCGTACCTGCGCTTTCAGTATTCTTCTTCTTTTCCATGTATTCTTGCTTTGATTTGGCCAACTTTGCCATTAAATCGTCATCTTCGCCTGGATGTAAATAGTTACAAGTTCCTGGTGGATTAGAACAATTTGGAAATGCAAAACATAACTTGGTAGGATGCGAAAACTGACACTCTTTATTATTACAGTATGGGAAATTTCTGCAACGCCCCTTTGCTGGTTTCTGGATGAATTGCTTCAAGTTCGTGACATTCGAATTACTCATTGCCAAAACCTTTTCAAAATTACCAGGATTCTGCATGGCAAATGATTTCTTAGGACCGTTTCTATTATTGGTATTCTTGTTGATACCACCACGATTATTGACCCTGTTGTTATTGGTGTACTGATTACGGTTCTGAAGTCCTTTTGGACCTGTAGGTAAATTCATTGGCATATCGTGTTGTTGTGGCTGACCCTGTGTATCTTCCATAGAATGTTCAAGCTGGTCGACTTCCAGTGATTGTTGTACTGGTTGCTCAGTTGGTTGCTGCATTTGCTGCTGTGCTGGTGGTGCCACTTGCTGTGGTACCTGTTGTTGTTCAGCCGGTTGTTGCGATGGCGGTTGTGTCTGTTCTGACGCTGGCTGCTGTTGCACACCTTGTCCCTGAGCCATCAATCTCTGAATTTCCGCAAATATAGTATTAACAAATGCCTCATCTATAGGAATATCTACAAGCTCTCTGACTTCCGATGATATTTCACTAGCGGTCTTGTTACTTCCAATTAAGACTAGTATGAATTCTGATACATCTTCAGCATCGTCAGCAATATTAAATTTATTTGATAATTCAACGACTAATGAAGCCTTCAACTGTTGACCTATTGGTCCTTCTGGATCGAATCCTGACATGCTTATCGATGGTGGCGATTGTTATTAATGTAAAGAAGAAGTATCTATTATATATCAACCAAAAGAAAAAAAAAACTTGGTCCAGTTTGAACTTGCCATCATGTCAAATTCACGTGATTACTATAAAATTGTATACCATAGGATCCTTTACTGTACTGAAAAGACTTCAGTTCACATTAACGGAAGTCTTGTTGTTGGATGAAGGTTGTATATTCAGGTTGTTTTATCATTGCAATGAAAGTATAATTTACATTGAAGTCGTTATTCATATTGGGACTTTATTTGTAGTTTTCACGAAATTTTGCAACAATCACATAGTCTACAGAATACAACTAATAATTAATATAAAATGCAATTTAAAGTATCTATACAAATTGAAACATGTCTTCAGACAACTCACCAAGAAGCTCTTTTATGATCTCGACGATTTTATGCAACTCTTCAGAGATAGAGGAAGTGACTAGGGTATAGGAGTATAGTAAGAAATAGTCTTCATTTTTTAGTGCTAACTCAGACTCAGTGGCATTATATGATCGTATTTCGCTTAGCTTGTATAACATTCTATCCCTTGCATGTTCCATGGATGCGGGTTTTACCGGTAACGGAAAATTTAGCTTCATGGCACTGGCAATCATGTAGAAAATCAAGAAAATTCTATCTTCTAATTCACTTCGTTCTGCAGCAATATATTTCAAAACATATTGCTCATTCTCACTCAATTTGGGGTCAACCCTAACCATATGGTTCATATTCTGAAATGCGTCTATAATTGTGGACGTAGACTTCAACAACTTTTCGTATGTGATCCGGGGGAAACTACCTTTTAAGCGAAATTCAATAGGGGCTTGCTTCAAGAGAGTTTCACACTCTGTTAATAAATCATTGATTCCCTTTTGATCCTTCAATCCAATGAGACAGGAACCTTTTGCAGACAGATCATAAACATAATCTAGCGGATCGCTATCCCAAATAACACCCATTCTTAGCCATAAAATGGCCAAACCATTCTTCAACCTTCCTCTAGCACTGTTGGGCAAGAAGCACGATGCCATAGTAAGCGCCCATAGTATACCAACAGAAACAGCAACATATCTGTGAAATGCAATTTCACCAATAATAGGCTCATCTCCACCTTCATTTCCATCTTCCGCGTCTTTTTGGGTCATACTATAGGAGTATAATGCAGTCAAATTGTAAGTCAATAAGATGAATCTTCCAAATGCATTATTTTTTTTCCAATAAATGATAATGTAAAAGCATGGAATTGACAAGAGAAAACCAGTTATCGACAACGCATAAACATTACCATCAGTTAATATCCAAATAACATAAGCAGCAAGTGCACCTAGAAATGTACCAATGAACCTCCACTTGACGGTCATCGTGGTCCCTCCTAACGATTTATTCATCATTATACAGTAAATTGTCAAAGCCCATTCGCCTCTCCAAAGATTGAAAGTATGCTTTGTAAGTGGGTGATACGCAAAGATGGAAAGAAAAAATGCACCTAACCCAACTCTGATACCAAACTGAACATCAATTCTACGGAATACTTTCAAGGCCTTCCACAAGCTGAAAGACCATCTTTCAATGGCTCTAGGGCTTCTAGATACGTGACTGATATTACCTGACCCAAGGTGGTTTTGAAAATTGATTAGCGCTTCATTTAGAGAATGTTCAAGGTTTGCATTTTCGTCAATTACCAGGGCATTTATTTCGGGATGGTGCCTCCAAAATTTTAACCAATGCCAAGTTCTTGACGACTTTCTTGATTTTTCGTAATCTTCCGCTAGTTGTAAGAATTCTATCAAATCTTCTGCAAATAATCTTAGCAAGGATGAGAAGTTTCCACAACATGCTGTTACTTCTTCCTGGTCTGCTTTAGAAAAAAAGTCCGATGGAGGCTTAAAGATTTCTTGTGCATATATTTTTTCGAATGATTTCGTCTGTTTATCATGGAATAATTCCAAAGCAGACTTCAATGAATTCTGATAATTCGTAGTGTTAACAAAAGTGTTTGGTGAAGACTTATTTTCAAAAGGTATTTCGCTTAATACACCTTTTAAAGTAAAGATAAATGATTTCATCGACGGCGCCAAGTAGTAAACAAATAAGTCGAATAACTGAGTAGAATTCATTGCGGTGTAATCTATATTAGTCGAGTTACCACTAACACCCTGTGTATTGATATGGGTTAAATATTCTGTTGATCGCGATAATCTCATATATTCATTCTCATAGCTTTTTAAGCTAGAGGTTGATGAATGGCTTTCATTGTTTTGTTCAGAGTTTTCTTCATGCAATAACTTCCACAGCATTTCTGTAGAACTTCTTAATGCTTGTAAGTTTCTCGTTAGAGAGATAGTGACGTTAACTATTTCAGCGAATATCGCCAATTCCTGTTCCCTCCCTTTAAATTTTAGTTCAAATTTAGATTCTTCAAAGCTTGAATTTAATTGAGCTATATTTATCTTCAAAGCATTAAAATACTCTGCATCCCTATTCGTAAATTTATCACCATTTAATATTCTATTAGGAATAATTGATAAAAGCGAAGACATGATATTATAAGAATCATTGAGATTATTACGTAGTTTATCTACAGCACTAACAGGCCAAAGTAAGTAGCACATAGCCACTGTAATAACACAACCAGTTACGACTACATGTGCTGTTGAACGTAGTCTTTCAATCGGAATATCAGCCGCATTTAAACTACCCTCTTTAACAATACAAGCTACCACCGAAATAGATGCCAAAGAACATGCTGTATTAAAAGTTTGCTTGTTTATCTTTTGTTTCATGAATGCAATTAGGCCCAATGAGATCGAACTAACGATTAAATCAATTGAATACGAGATTTCATCTTCACCACTTTTAAAGAAAGATCCAGCTATGGATCTACATGCAAATGATACACTGAAACTGAATAGCAATGATATCACAACAAATATTAACGTTTGAAACATTGACCCTTTCGATCTCCATGGATGAAAATATACAGCAACAGTTGCAACAAGATGTTTTGAATCAGTTTGCCCCAAGAATTCATTGAATGGAGTATAGTACACCCCCATAGATGCAATTAAGTAAGCAACAGAACATTTCAATACACTTCTGACGATATCGTTATGATAAACTTGACGCAAATATTTCCAATTTAAATATATACTAATCAGCCTTTGGCCTGTATTGTTATTAGATTGAGGTAACAAAGGATCCTGTTCAGAGAGATTATTATTATCAAAGCTCTCATAGCTTGAATTCGTCAATGAAATAGTTCTATGTACCCTTTCTCCGGTATTAGCCAAAATGACAGAACTCTGTCTGTTAAATTTCTTGGGCCTTTCCGGCGGAGATGAAAGTAGCTTCTTTATATCATCCGTTGTATTGGTATGACGTAGCACTTTATTGTTCAGTTGTGCCTTAATATTCACACTTTGGATATTGTCATCGGTTTCCATTGGATTTCATGCGGTTAAAGTTCTTTTAAGAAATGTTGAAAATATTATTCTTTTAAGAAATGTTGAAAATATTATTTGGTTCTGATAACAACTTATTTCAGTTACCATAAATGTATCACAAAACTTATCATATCTACAAACCCTTAGATAAAAATCGAAAATATAAAAATTAATCTATAAAACAAACATAATTCATTATTTAAAAAAATACAGTTACTAAGACTGTATCAACATCATTAAGGATTAGTAAATTATCATTACTCATTAAAAATACAAAACAAAAATCATTAAAACTTTTAGCGGAAAAAAATCGAATAGCGAAGAATATTTCTTCATCTAATCGTGGCCAATAATTTCTTTAAACAAGTCTTCGCAAGGAACAGTAGCTCCTAATCTAGCGCATAATAAGAAGACACCACTCAATTTTCTGTGTAATGAGTAGGTTTCTTCAGGAGGTGGGGTTAATCTTTCACTTAACATGATTCCGACATTTCCTCTAACTCTGTCGGTAATAGTTTGGTCTTTGAAATTGAATGGCTTACCCTTGTTATCAACTGGCGAGAAAGCTTCACCTAAAACCAAGATTGAGTCGACATGAGCTTCAGTCATTGCAGGAGATTCTAATCCAGTCAAATAGCCCAATTTCTTAGAGTAGTGAGCAATTTGATCACGGTCCTTTCTGATGGCAGCTTTCAAAATCAAAATGTAGTTTTCGATGAATTCGTCGCCAAATTCACGAGCAGCACCAAAGTCCAATAATTCAATCTTACCGGTGGATTCGTTGTACAAAAAGTTAGCCCAGTTTGGATCAGTTTGCATGAATTTGAAGTGTTTGATTTCTAATAAACACAATCTCATAATATTGGTTGCAATCCAATCCTTGGTATTTTGATCCCAGTTACCCTTGGTAATTTCAAGCCCTCTCATTCTTTCCATAGTTAAAACATGTTCACCACATAAGTTATGGAAGACTCTTGGCACTTCAAAGACTGGGTCGTCTTTAATCATATCACGGAATCTAATCAAATTCTGAGCTTCTCTAATATAGTCACATTCCCACTTCAATTCAACTCTGGCATTAGCAATGGTCTTATCCAAGAACAAACCAGCTGGTAAAATCGCAGATGCTGTCAATAAGGTTAACAAGTTATTCAAATCCGAATCGATACTATCCACAACCCCAGGATATTGTACTTTAACAACAACAGGAGTCAAATCTTCGGTGACAGCATTGTGGACCTGACCAATTGAAGCAGCAGCAACTGGAACATCCTCAAAAGATGCGAATGAACGTTCTCTCCAGTTATTACCTAAGTCGTTCACCATGACTCTTTCTAATTGTCCTGGTGGCATGTAATGAGCCGAGTTTTGCACTCTGAGCAATATCTGCTGGATCTCTGCTGGCAAGATAGACAGGTCTTGAAACGACATCATTTGTCCAATCTTCAAAGCAGCCCCTCTCATTTTAGAGAACTTTTTCGCCATTCTCTCGATATTTTGTGGTGACAAAATAAGTGACTTCATTGATATGCTTGT